TACATCTCTTGCTATCCTCTCCCCTCCATATCACAAGATGGGCAGGAGGAATAAATGCAATAAAATTAGGGCAACCAGGGTTATCAGCTCTGAGGTCACTGTGGATATCCAGGGTGTTGGCTTGGTTCCTTCCTTCCTACCTTCCTTCCTTCCTCCCTTCCTCCCTCCCTTCCTTTCTCTCTCTCTCTCTCTGTCTCTCTCTCTCTCTCTCTTTCTGGGTTATGATTACTTTACAAGGTACATTTTTGGGGGTGCCTGGATGGCTCAGTTGGTAGAACATGCGACTTTTGATCTCAGGATTGAGTTTGAACCTCATGTTGGGTATAGGGATTGCTTTTTTTTTTGGTTTGGGACAATAGAGGGGGCAGGGTATCATCCAGGAGAGAAAGCAAGTCTAGTATTTAATGCTGTCTTCAGGCTTATGAAAAGGAGATGACAGGAACTTTGAGATTTCTTATTAGACTGCCCTATCTTGTTCCATAGGATAGAAAATGAGTAAAGGATTCAAGGTTGATACCCAAAATAAAGATTTTGCATTTGTTTAGATTCTTAGGAAGCTGAAGGTGAACTTCCAATAATATTTCTTTAAGTTGAGGAAGGAAGCTTAGATTTTTTTCCTTGGGTCCCAGATAAATTCCCTAAACCTTATAGAGGGGAAGTCTGAGCTTTGCAGAAGTTGGAAGGGAGGTCACAGACTTTCTGACTGCAGCTCACCTCCCCCATATCCCCATGCTCATTCCAACATTTGAGACTGATGGTATGCTTTATTTATTTATTTATGTATTTATGTATTTTTAATGTTTATTTTTGAGAGAGAGAGAGCACATGAGCAGGGGATGGGCAGAGAGAGTCACAGAATTTGAAGCAGGCTTCAGGCTCTGAGGTGTCAACACAGAGCCCTATGCAGGGCTTGAACTCACGAACCATGAGATCATGACCTGAGCTGAAGTCAGACGCTTAACCAACTGAGCCACCCAGGTGCCCCTGATGGTATGCTTTAAAATGAAGGCAAGAGCCCCCTTTACTTACTACTGGTGAAGGTGACATTGACCCCGTAAGACTGGCCTTTGTGCAGCTTGCAGGGCTGGGTGGGGCATGGGCTCACGTTCAGTTCCTTTATAACTCCAAGCCCAGAACCTGTGAGAAAAAGAAACAGGAATTGGAACAGGAGGGAAAAAAAACTGCGTATGCTGTACCCTACATAACAGAAGGTGCTCTGCTCATCAGGAAACTCTTCATATTTGATGGGAGAAGGGGAATTAAGAAATCAGTTAAATTTTCCTCCTCTATAGCCTGGCAGGACTATACCAGGAAACGTCATCTGCACCCCTCCTTCCACCCCTACGTAGGGTTTAAAACAGCATATATATGGCACAAGTGATGGCTCTAGCTTCAGTGCTGCTGTTCCCACTGGGACTCGAGACTGGCTGTTCCTGAGCTGCCTTCTTCTACTTTCTCCCAATCCTGTCCTGGCACGGATCCGAGCCAGTGGTCTCTGAGCTTTGTACACCTCTACCAGTGAAAACCATTTTAAGAACGCATCTGCAGTAAACAGTTGTACCCTCCACTTTAGAAACGCAGTCTTCAAGATAAGTGTCTCTGAGACAGGGTATGTGTCTTTTTGTAAAATTTTCAGTCAAAACAAAGACAAAAGTGCTATTTGTCCCCCATAAATGTTTGACCTAAACAGGTTGGGTAAAGTCTTTAAAAATCCCGCTGCCTCCTCTGGGCCCCTGAAACTGGACAGCCGAATGGAGAGAATGCAAGCAAACTGGCTGGTAACACCATTTATAGGAAGGAAGCTTAAGCTCTGTTGTTCAGCCATCACTGCTCTGGGACTGGACCCCTGGGTTTATAATCCCATTGGCTCCATTACTCACTAGGAAACCTCAAAACAAGACACTTCACCCTTCTAGGGTTAACAACAATAACTGCCTCATAGGGTAGGGGAGTTCACAGACAAGAAGCTCTCAGGTTAGTGTTTGCAACGTGGTAATGCCATGTAAATGTTTATTTTATTATCATCACATCGGGATTCAGTCCATGAATTTAATCTGGAATAGTTGCTGCAGGTAGGTTAGCAAGTTCCCTTTTCAGGTAAAAGGTGGGCCTCTCCTCTGCAGTCATCAGGTTGGCTCAGGCCATGGGATACGAAATGAGAAGCTCATGTAGATGCACTTGGCCTTCTCAGCCTGTGCCTGCTCTTGGAACAGTTTCATCCTGCTGACCAACACTCCTCCAAGTAGGTGTATAAATAATAACTTGCCGTCCCCCAATTCTGTGCTTGCTTCTCCATCACGGCAAAGTTCTTGAAATATACATGCAACAATGCTCTTCTTTAAGCACTGTCTTCCACTCTGTCCTCCTATCTTCTACAGGCAGGAAAAAAATATCCAGAACTTTAATCAACAACCTACTGAAAATCAGTGCTTACACTAAAGCTTTTGATGTCTGCTTCTACCTGCTTCTTTCAAGGCTGGGTCATGTGATCTAATAGGACCCAAGTGAGGACTAGTACTTGTAGCTCCTTCATCCAGTTTTACTGACAAGAGGTTCTTGGACTTCCAATATCAATAGAACAAAGTCCTCAGTCCTAACCGGCAAAAATAGCAAAACCAGTTTGCTTGACTCCATTTCTTACTTGAGGAAATACTACTCCAGGGGAAAGGGGTCAGAGAGTGGAACTCAAAAATCTTTTGATGTGGGCACTGAAGTTTACATTGTTATTTCCCAATCAAAAGTAAATTGCAAATCTGTAACTGAAACCCTCCCTTCCTTAAGAAGTATTTGCCATTGGTGTACCTCTGCTTTTTTCATAGGAGTAGAACAATATCTAGATTTGGTTTCCTTAGTTTTTTTTCTAATGTTTATTGGGGGGGGAGAGAGGGAGGGAGAGAATTGGCACATGTGGGGCGGGGCAGAGAGGAGAGAGAGGTGATGAGATGCTCCCTCAAAATCAAGAAGTGTGAGGTCATGCATGACCTGAGCTGAAGTCATGCGCTTAACCGACTGAGCCACCCAGTCACCCCCCCACCCCACTTTTTTAAATGTTAGTGTTACCACTGAAACCCAAAGTGGCTCATAGACGCCCACTAATTTCCTACTGCTTACTAGCTTTGAGACTTTGGTAAGTTGGGCCACCTGGGTGGCTCAGTGGGTTAAGTGTCCAACTTCAGCTCAGGTCATGGTGTCACAGTTTAAGAGTTTGAGCCTGGTTTGATAGTTCAAGCCCTGAGTTGGGCTCTGTGCTGAGAGCTCAGAGCCTGGAGCCTGCTTAGGGTTCTGTCTCCCTCTCTCTGCCTCTCCCCCACTTGCTCTCTCTTTCTCAAAAATAAACATTAAAAGAGAGAGACAGAGAAAGAAAGAAAGAGAGAGAGAGAGAGAGAGAGAGAGAGAGAGAGGGAACTTGGGTAAGTTACTCCATGTGCCTGTTTTCTCATCTGTAAAACAGATCCTGAGGGTTGGATGAGTTAATAAAGTTAATATTGTGTCTTTATCCAAACTTGGCCACTAAGTTTAACGGGGGGATACGCAGTAATTTGAGGTGATAATAGCATCTTTGAAGTGCCACTAGTTTAGTGGAACAGTTTGCTAAGGTTAATAATAGGCCAGCAGTCTTATTCCTTAATCAATTCTGTCCCCTAGCCTAACTCTGCTTTTGCCTCAAAATGAATTGATGACATATTGGAAAGAGCATTTATTCTCTTATTTACTTTTTCTTTAACAATTTTTTAACATTTATTTTTTAGAGAAAGACAGCGCGAGTGGGGGAGGGACAGAGAAAGACACACAGAATGTGAAGTTTCCTTCCAGCTCACAAACTTTATAAATGTCTTCTGTCATTTACCACTACACCTTTTCACGTCAGAAAAAGTTCTGCTGGAATAATTCTATAGACTTGACCGAACAAAAAAACTCACAATTTCATACAACCCCCGCTGTATTTCCCGAAAAAGATCCCTATCACAGCGCCAAGAGGGATATGTGTCACAAGCTGTGACCAGCCACACGAGTTTTATAGTAAGAGGAAAAAGTGATTAACAATCACCAAATTATATAGCACAAAGGAATCATGAAAAGGAGAATTGACTTTTGACTTGTCAGCAAAAGCGAAATTAAAAATAAAAGCAAACGGAGTAGGGAGGGAGAAGTCATCCAAAGATACACAAAAAAAGTTCTGTGCTCCTTACGCCCCGTGCATAGGGACCTTCAGTTGTCCTACAAACTTCTGAGAACTTCAGCAAAAGGGCCACTTCCAGGACATGTCCAGGGACCCCAAAAAACGCGTCCCAGGAAGAGACGAAGTTGTGAGCCACTGGGTTTGCCGCCCGCACCTTCTCCCCCACCGCAGCCCCCTCCAACCGGCTCCACGATGGGTCCGAGGCTGAGCCTGGCTGCCCGTGGGACCCGCCCCAACCCTGCCGGGGGTCTCGGCGCGGGGTTCCGGTGGGGGCTACCGCAGAGGGCGTGGGAATCTTGGGCTGGCCCCAGCTCACCGCAGTCCTTGAAAGACACTGGCTCGCCCAGGGCGGAGGGGCTGAGCGCCAGGAGCACGAACGCGACGGCCAGGATATGCATCGCAGCTGAACAGGTTCCAAGCGCGAGGAAGGAAGTGACCACCTCAGTCTCTCAGATAAACCTGCCCGGGCGGGCCTGGGGAGGGGCCAGGTCAGGCGACTCTCACCAACAACCAGGGCCGGGCCCGCCCGCGCTCCGCCCCCGGCTCCAGACAGCCAAGCTCGGCTCTGTCCTGCCTGGATGCCCGCTATCTCCGCCCACCGTGTCCGCTCCGCCAGCCCGTAGGCTAGGATCCATCTCCGCCCCGTCCGGCTTCTCTTTCCGGCGCTCCGCCCCGGTTTTGTCGGTGCGCCCCAGCTTCCGTAATGAACACTTCTAGCCAATCAAATCCCTTCTCCTCCACGGCCACCCAATAGGTGTGCTTGGAGGCGGGGTCACCGTGGGTCCCACCTCTGGAGGCCCAGGTGGAGGAGGGGATTAGGGCGACGCGAGGGGCGGAGTTTGCGGAGTAAGATGGCGGCCATTCGTGGGTTGTCTCTAACAGCCGTGGTGCTGAGGGTGGTCACTCCCTGGGCCAGGAGCAGGTACCAAGACTACAAAGGCACCTGGGAAGGGTGTTAGGTTCTGCGCCTCCAGGACTAACGGGGAGACTAAGACCTGCGGGGGAGGCGAGGGTTTGGCGTGAGGCTGTCCAGGTGGAGGTCGTCAGGTTTGGCGTGAGGCTTTCCAGGTGCAGGTCACCAGGTGCCCCTCTGCTCCCAGGCTCATCTTCCTCCCTTGCGCAGCAGGCTCCTCACGGCCTCTCGAGGACCCCAGGCTCGTCGGGAAGCGTCGTCCTCCAGCCTCAAGGCCGGAGAAGGGCAGATCCACCTCACCGATAGCTGCGTCCAGGTAGGAGGCCGGCCTCCTGGCGCGGGGGGAAGGGGGGAAGTGCGGGGACTTGCCCTTGGCTCACCCTGTACCTCCCTTTGCCTGGCATTCTTGATCCCCCTTCCTGCATTTCAGAGGCTTCTAGAAATCACTGAAGGCTCAGAATTCCTCAGGTTGGAGGTGGAGGGAGGCGGATGCTCCGGATTCCAATACAAATTTTCACTGGATACAGTTATCAATCCTGACGACAGGCAAGGAGGAAGGGGTGGGTCCTCAGAGAATGTGAGGGAGGGATAAAAGTGCACATTTATTTCAAATTTAAAAGCTTTGCTAAGAACTCCAAACACCACCCTTCTCACAGTGAAGATTTGTTGTCATGCTTTAAAATAACCATGTTATAGAAAGAAAATGGGCCTGTCCACGTCCCCAGTGTAATTGGTAAGAGGCTAGACTAGATTTCCAGGCCTAAATCACTAACCATGTACCAGTATTCATTCCATTGGCTCTTTTTGCCTCAGAGGAAAGCAGCACTTGTTAGAGGTCATAAGGAATGCTTCCTCTGTATTTCTAAAAATTTTTTTAATGTTGATTTATTTTTGAGAGAGAGACATGGCGCTAGCAGGGGAGGGGCAGAGAGAGGGAGACACAGAATCTAAAACAGGCTCCAGGCTCTGAGCTGTCAGCACAGAACCCAACATGGGGCTTGAACTCACGAACCAGTGAGACCATCACCTGAGCCGAAGTCGGACGGGTAACCGACTGAGCCACCCAATCACCCCTCCAAATTTTTTAAACGTTTATTTATTTTAGAGAGAGACAGCATGAGTGGGGAAGGGGCAGAGAGAGAGGGAGACACAGAATCCGAAGCAGGCTCAAGGCTCAGAGCCGTCAGCACAGAGCCCCACATGGGGCTTGAACTCACAAGCCATGAGATCATGGCCTGAGCTGAAGTCTGAGGCTTAACCAGCTGAGCCACCCAGGCATCCATCTGTATTTCTAAAACAAAATGTGCACCTCTGGGCTCAGAGGGTGTAATGTTTTTGGTGTTTATGATAGTCATTAATGTCTTCCTCCTGTCTTTTCAGGGTATTTGAACAGGGTGGGGCAAGAGTGGTGGTTGACTCTGATAGCTTGGCCTTCGTGAAAGGGGCCCAGGTGGACTTCAGCCAAGAACTGATCCGCAGCTCATTTCAAGTATTGAACAATCCTCAAGCGCAGCAAGGCTGCTCCTGTGGCTCATCCTTCTCTGTCAAACTTTGATGTGACGGCAGGTAACCCAGAGATTGCTACCACTGGTGCCAATTTGAGGAGCCTGCCAGTAGTAGAATTCTAGATGTTTCATTCCAATCATGTCCTTCTCTTCAATTTTTTTCCCCGCAGTCTAGGAGTGTCGTGTTTTGCCACTGTAATTTTCAGCACGTGTAGCTTTTACTCTTGACTTAATTTCACTCACACAGTTTTAAGGCCAGGTGTCTAGATGCTGTGATCTAAGATCTGCTACCTTGTCGAAACCTACCCTGTATAATCTGTAGAACCTTCAGGGTTCCAGAGTTTGGAGTTACTTCTCTGGCCCTCAGAGCTGCTTGTACATATGTGTATAGCTATGTATAAAAGCTTCATTTTGAAGAAAGTCTTTATTGTGTCCTGGATCAGGGTCACAGATTGGAGAGCTTGAACACTGGTTATTAGGCTAGAGAGGAGGAGAAAGTCAGTGTTCTCTTTTTCATGTCACCCTTCCTGAATGTGCTAGTTGACATCCTTTTCTTTTATTTTTTCCTTCCTTCCTCCCTTCCTCATCCTTATTTCCTATGCAGCCCATTCTCCATTTCCCATTTGTTAGGGTAGATACGTTTTCCTTTCTTACTCCTCAGTCTGCTAAATTCACAAAACCAGTAGCTCATCACCCAGAAAACTTGAATCTAACCCCTACTGATAACCTGAATCATTTGAAAAATAGGCCCCCTACTCCATACGCATACAGATATTTCGAGATTTTGTGATCGTTCACTGTCTGATAGGTAGCTTCGCTTACCTCGTGGTGTAAAATGTCTTTGGTCTCATATAGCAGGAAGTGGTCCCTGTGTTGGCATGGATAATGGATAGTTAGGGATTTTCTTTTAGGTTGGATTACCAGATAAAATGTAGGATGCCCAGCTAAATTTGAATTTCAACTAAACACATAGTTTATACTATGGGTGTCCCAAATATTCCCAGTTTTTTGTATAAGTGTGTCCCAAATAAGTATGAGACATATTTATACGAAAAATTATGTGTTGTTTAGTTGAAATTCAAGTTTAACTGGTCAGTGTGTACTTTTTTAAAAGCTTATTTCTTTTGAGAGAGTGACAGAGTGAGTGGGGAGAGGCAGAGAGCGAGGAAATGAGAATTTCAAGCAGGCTGCGCACTGACAATGTGGAGTCTGGTGTGGGGCTTGAACTCACAAACCATGAGATCATGACCTAAGCCGAAACCAAGAGTTGGATGCTTAACTGACTGAGCCACCCGGGTGCCATGGGCACTGTGTATTTCTATTTGTTAAACCTGGCAACTTTATTTAGGGTCACTGAAAGAAAAGCTTTTTTTTTTTTTTTTTAATTTTTAAATTTTTTTTAAGTTTATGAGAGAAAGAGTGTGAGCTGGGGAGGAGGACAGAGGGGGAGAGAGAGAATCTCAAGCAGTCAGCTTGTGTCAGCTGTGCTGACAGCTCCATCTCATGAACCATGAGATCGTGACCTAAGCTGAAATCAAGTCTGGCACTTAACTAACTGAGCCATCCTCACACCCCAAGGAAAGTACTTGTTTGGGTATGGCACTTAATTAGGCTACAGAGCTAGAAATAGTTGTGGCATGTGTGTGACAGGGCCAGGGAGCCGGAACTGCATGACAGACAACTAAAAAAAGAAATACCACTACCATGACCAATGATTTATTAATGCTCATGTTGGGAAAACCACAACGAAATTGATTATGGAAGAAATTACTGGCTAAACCCTTGTTTTCCTCAAGAGCCTAAAAGTTTGTTACAGCAAAAACTTGCATTTTTGGACTGGATTAGAATTAAAGGCATTCAGTAAAAGACTTTACCATTAAAAAGGGAAATGCAGAGTTTAGAGACCGAAAGTACCTGAGACAGAAGCTTAGGAACTTATATTTTCAATATGGGAAAACCTAGGATTTGGAGAAAGAAAGCCTGTTCTGTTTACAAAGAGGAAACCAGGGGAGGCTCAGAAACCTCAGCTTTCTTGGCAAATTTCCATGGAAGGAGGCGGAAAGCAGCATATCACAGGAGCCTCTGTGTAGCTTTATTAAGACATCTAAAAATGCTGCCAGTACCTGGGCCTGATAAGATTTTCAGCTGAGACTAAGTTTTTCATCTTCTTTAAAAAGAGATTTTGCTACATTTTATGTGTTAGAGCCTATTTTAAAGAATACACTTTTTTTTTTTTTTTTTTTAAAGATTTGTTTATTTTTGAGAGAGAGTGTGAGCAGGGGAGGGGCAGAGAGAGAGGGAGATACAGAAGCTGAAGCAGGCTCCAGGCTGTCAGCACAGAGCCCGGTGTGGGGCTTGAACTCATGAACCGTGAGACCATGACCTGAGCTGAAGTCGGACGTTCAACCGACTGAGGCACCCAGGCACCCCAGGAGTACATGTTATTTTTATTTATTAAAAATTTTTTTTAATGTTCATTCTTGAGGGACAGAGACAGAGTGAGAGTAGGGGACGGACAGACAGGGAGGGAGACACAGAATCTGAAGCAGGCTCCAGGTTCTGAGCTGTCAGCACAGAGCCAGATGTGGGGCTTGAACCCACGAACTGTTAGATCATGACCTGAGCCAAAGTCATATGCTTAACCGAGTAAGCCACCCAGGCACCCCTATTTTCATTTATTTTTAAAAGGAAGCTGTATGCCCTACATGGGGCTTGAATTCACAACCCTGAGAACACGAGTTGCATATTACACTGACTGAGCCAGCCAGGTGCTCCATGATTTGGTGATTTTAAAATTCATACGAGCATATGCAAGGTAGCTTTTGTTGCTAAATAAACCATTAAATTGCAGTGGTCAGGCAGGACCAGAGTCCTTTGAATGCCTATATGGAAGTACCTGCTGTTAATGGGAGAATTGGAAATCTGTGTTTCAGAAGGGGTGGGTTTGGGAGAAATCCCCTCACTTTATTATGCTGAGAATGCCTCACGGGAAAATCCTCGAAGTGGTAACAAGGAGTCTCCTTTGGAGTAGGATGATGTAGAAATTTGGAGAGCACAGGGCATAGAGAAATGATAGCATCAGGGGACAGTGGGCAATTTGTTTGGAATGAATAGTAAGCATAGTAAAATGGGTTTAGGGTCTTTTGCAGGTCTTTTCTGACCAGATGCCCTCTTTCTGGCAAGCAGTAAAGACCGGTAGATATTTTCACAAATTTTGCACACTGTGCAATTCATTTATGAAAACTTGATACTGTTCTAATCTTCATTGGAAGATTTATTTTTGCTTCCCCAGTACTTTCAAGGGGAAAGGCCCTGTGTGTTGCAAAACTGGTTTTATTTACACAGGTTAGTGTCTGGGGCAGCACATCCCACTGTTGCTTTAGCAAGACCTAATGCAAGAACCAAAGAGGAGGGATCCCTGTGTCTGCTTTATGTTGTGAATCTGCTTTCTGGTGTTGGCTCAAAAAAGGGGGCCTTTTGTTCAACATCCAGATCTTACCTTGTGGAATCATACTCTTCAGTTATGTGAGTGATAGTGACTAGTGGTATGGAAACTGTAGGTGGCCCTCCCACCCTTTAGTTTCATTGTGTGGGAATGTTTTAAATTTTTTTTAATGTTGTTTAAAATTTATTTCTGAGAGAGAGAGAGATAGTATGAGCAGGGGAGGGTCAAAGAGAGGGGGAGACACAGAATCTGAAACAGGCTTCAGGCTCTGAGCTAGCTGTCAGCACAGAGCCTGATGCAGGACTCGAACCCACGAACCACGAGATCATGACCTGAGCCGAACTTGATGCTTAACCAGCTGAGCCACCCAGGTGCCCCTGTGTGGGAATGTTGACTGATTACAAGGGATTAGAAGAAAACAGGTTTAGAAGTAAGAGATTAGGAAGGGCTACTAAAGTAGGTTTCTAGGAACTTTCTAACTTCTCTTTCTTCTAAGAATTGGAACCCCCTCTTTTGGTCTTCTGTTACAAAGCGTCACATGGAGGGTTGACATTTGGTAGGAGCATCTTACATTGAGAAGTGGGCAGTACTGATCACATGGTGTAGCCCTCCCTCGAGTGCTGGCCAGGAGCAGGTATCATGCCGCTGGTAGTGGGCAGGACCTGACACTGTCCAGTGCAACAGAATTACGATTTTGCATGTTTGTCTCAAAGGCAGGAAACTCCTCTACTTTTCTAGGTATCTAGCATTGGTGTTTATAGGTTGCTTTTTTAAGATCCCTGTTTTCCATTTCTCCATAGAAATGCTGCAGGGCTGTTTGAAGGAAGTTTGCTTTAAACAGTTTTGAAATAATTATGTGGCTTTAATTGTCCGATAAATACATGAAGAAGGGAGCATTTAAGTGGTCTATGGCCAGCAGCTGTATTTAAAAATATTTTATTTTTTTGAAAAGTAATACACATGGTACAAAATTCAAAAAGACACAAAAGGGGATACAGTGAAAAGTCCCAATCCTGTACCCATCTACCCTGTCACCCTCCCCACAAACCACTGTTGTTTCTAAGGATTTACCCTACAGGTATGATCCATAGATATAATGTGAAATAACATATAAGAATATTCATTACAGCATTACTTATAAATAGCAAGAGATTGGAAACATCCGTCAATAGGGGACTGATTACAAATTATGATTTGTACATTCAGTGGAATAGCATACGATTATAATATAGAGTGAGACGACTCTTTGTGTGAAAATATAGAAAAAAGCAAAGTGCAGAATAGCAAGCATAGGGTGGTCTTTGTGTTCTGATACAAAGAAACCCATATATGTGCATGAGGTTTTTCTGGAAGGGTAAGCAGGAAGGTGAGGGTTGAGAGGAGGCACAGCGCCAGCAGGTGTACTGAACAGTGGTAAGAAGTTCTCTGAACTGTGGGCTGTAAGGCAGAGTGGCGAGGATGAGGTCAGCAGATACCCAGCTGTCTTCCCCTTTCTTTAGATAAATAGCAGCACATGTTATACTTTGTTATAAAACCTTTTCCCCCTTAGTCTGATTTGGGTTTCTTATCAAAGCATTTAGAGCCACTTTTTTTTTTTTCCTTTTTTAGGCCTCCATGGCAACTAATAGTTTCTGATCTTTCACTGTTACAAGTAATGCTGTAATAAATAACCTCTGACATGTATCATTTCACATTTGGTGAAAAATATCTGAAGGTTAAATTCCTAGAAGATTCAAAGAGTAAGTAAGAGCTTTTATAATTTTGAAAGACATTGCCATATTATCCTCTTCAGAAGTCGTGTCAGTTTCCGCCCCTGTCAGCTGTGTGTGAGTGCCTCTTTCATCAGATGCTTGCCAACTAGGAGTCTTAAATGTTTTGATCCTTGACAATCTGACAATTTGTAAAAAGCATCTCTGTGTGGTTTTAATTCCCATTTCTTTTATTATGAATGAAGGCCAGAATATTTTCACATGTGTAAGAACTATATATTTTGTTTGCTGAAAAGGGCTAGTAGAGTGACCTAGCTGTTTAAACTCCTGTGTGTCTCAATTTCCTCAGCTGTAAGTTAGGGATGAAAGTAGTAAGTAGGATTGTTGGATGATTAAATGAAGTTTGTTTACAGCTCTCAGTGTGGTGTCTGGCACATAACCGGCGTTCAGTAAGTTATTACGGGGTCGCTGACAATCGGAGCAGCCGCTAGGACAGGACAGATAAAATTAAGATAGCATTCATCCCTATGTCTTCAGGCACGTTCATCTACATTGCCTTACATCAGACAAATGCAGAGACAGAGCTTTCCTTGTCTCAGAAGAAAGGACCTTTTCCCTTGGGATCCCAATCATAGGCTATTGGCAGAGCTGGCAAGAGGGCAGGCTCAGCCTCATGTCTAATATGTAGACAGCCAACATGGTAAAGAAATCTGGTTTAATAGGAAATGAAAAAACCAGAAAAGCCCAGATGTACATCTTTTTATTCCACCATGGTCTTTAACTCCCGGCCAGCCCACATTGGAGTGGGACTCTCCTTGTAAACTGAGAGGGAGACCAGCCATCCCATTTTTGACAGAAAGATGGCAGGGGCATCTGAGAATAGAAAAAAACACTGGAAATCTGGCTTCCCCTACAGAAGACTGCACTGTAGCTCACAAGCTAGAAAACAGACCCCTTAATTTTTTAGTGCCTCAAAACTGGTGTCCACAAAAGGAGAACCCAGGAGAGGTCTGTTTCCTGTAAAAAGCAGTAGGTATTTAATACAGGTCTTCAGAGATGGGCGCCCTGTCCTGTGGCAGCCCTTGTTCAGGTGCACGTGAGCTATCACGGGTAGATGGTGAGTGTTTACCCAAAGCTACTGAACGTTTTCTTTAGACTTGTTGAAAGCCTAGCTCCTCCTTTCTTAACAACTCCCCATATTTTTCATATTGCCCTTTCCGCTTTCTCAGGCTCCTTGTTCCCCTTCACTCGTGTCTCTTATACTCAGCAAGCTGCTGTCAGTCTTGGTCCTCTGAGATGAGCGCATCTTCTGCCCCTCCCTGGGGCCAGAACTGCTACGGGATGGAGATGTGGCAGAATCTGGCCCAGACAGGACTGGCTGAGTGGAAGTGATGGTTGTGTGGGGGAGGCGGCCTTGGAGTCACTCCCCAAACTTCCCCCAATCCTTTTCTGCTCAAGAGATACTGAAGGACCATCCCTGGGCAAATATAAGCTCTGACCCAGTTGTGGAATAGGATGTTTGTGGATCATGGCTGGGAAAGGTTATCTGCAATGTGAGGCCAGATGACCTTGCATGTTTGCACAGCTTGAGGGGGTAGATGAGGGCCATCCTTTAGTAAGCATCCATAGCAAGGCTAGGACAGATGGCAGACTGGTCCTCATGGCCAGTGGCTGAAGCATTAAAGCATTTGTTGGTGTTTGAGCCAAGCAAGGGCATGGCAGCATGAAGTCAGTGACAAGCTCACAGCCAGAACCTAAGCTGGGAGAGTAGCAGGCGGGGCTGGCTGGAAGCTGGGCTGCAGGGCCTTCTGCCTGCTTCTTCATGGTGTCTTCCCAGCTACAAAAGCCTCCTCAAGGCCCCTGCCTCTGTGGCCAGGCCCATTTCCAGGTAGGTGCCCACACTGAGCCATCACTGCTACTCCTTGGCAGTACAGTGTGGGGGGCCTGCCTCGGCCACATAACCGGGCGAGCAGTGGCAGCGGTAGGAGCCCTCGGTGTTCTCGCAGTGACCATGGGCACAGAGTGCAGCAGGCCCGTTCAAGTCATCACACTCATTGACATCTAAGAGGAAGGGAAGGAAGAGAGAGCTGTAGGGAACACAGGTGCCTCTGTCCTGGGCTCATGAGGCCCCGGCCCCTGCCCTGCAGTGGACCCCTACATGTGACAGCCAGGAGCTGAGGTAAGTGCTCCAAACTAAGCAACTCAGAGACACAAAGCAGGTGGTAGTGAACCCATCCCGTGCCCCTGGACAGTGACCATGCTCTCTTGTCCTTGCCTTTCTTCTGTCTAGGAACCTCCCTGGAAAGGGCTTTCTTCACACAACAGGAGACCTTTGGTGCTCTCACCACTTGGCCTGGTTCCAGACAACCCCGCTAGGGGGCAGCAGTGAGTTTTTCCACTCTCAAGTTCAGTCTTGTATTCCTAAGTGAGCCGTGGGCCAGTCTGACCTTTCCGCCTGGAGCCATCAGGGCCATCTTGCTCCCTGGGCATTGCCACCAAGATCAAAACTTACCCACGCAGGCCATGTGGGCCATGTCCAGCTGGAAGCCCTCGAAGCAGTCACAGGTGTAGCCCTCCCTCACTCGCACACAGCGGCCGTTCTCACAGCCATTCAGGATGCCGCATTCCTCTGCCTGAAGCCCTTCGAAGCCAGCCTGGTGCTCTGGTAGGAGGGAGTCAGAAGGATGTTGAGGCCTTGTGCCTAGCAGTGGGACCCTCACCCTCCACTATGAAGGGTTGCTCCTTTTGAAATCCTAAGGGTAGGGTTTCAAAAGGGTTTACCCTCACAGAAAGATGCTAAAACAAAAGGCACTACCCTTAAGAAGTAATTAAGGAGACATGCTATACTTTAAATGTCAGCTTCAGGAAGGTTGAGACTCCTTGCTTTCACAGTGCCAGGGTTCCCGAGCAGGTGGGTGTCTCTGTATAGCTTTGGTTTTGTGGTTGGTGGTGGTTAAAGTCTTTAGACAGTTTTTTGTGGGGAGGAGAGGGCCGCAAAAGGGGATCACCCTCACTCAGCATGAAGCGAAACTTAGAGATCTACTTAACTCTCCTCTTTAAGCAGGTACCAACCCCTGTGAAAGACCGTATCCCTGATCCCTACGAAGGCTTTGTCTGATGCAGTGGCGGTTCCTGGGGCAGCCACCACATCCACTGCCCAGGTGCCAGGCTTAACTTCTTCATTAGGACCCAGTCCTATGCGCTGGGGTCTGTGCCATGTACGAACTGAGTTATCATAGTGGGCCTTTAAAGTGACTAGAAATCCTTAATGCACATTTCAGGTCACAACTCTGAGCTTGTAGACCAGGTTATTCTGCACCCTGTGGGTGGTGTGGAGGGAGAAAAACAGACCGGAGTGTACCTGCTTCCTCTTGCTCTCTCAACTCCCACAGGGAAGTTTTTGAGGTTGGGATGGTGTCCTGTCCTGTACCTCTTTGGTTCATCAGAGTTGATCAGGTCTGACCCAGGCATTTGGAGTTGTCCCTTGAGTAACCTGTGAGGGCTGGCTGGGTCATTTCCCTCCCCCAGTGTTCACACCGGCCTCACCCCACTGGCAGTGATTAGTAGGTGGAGGAATGGAAGTGAAACCATCTTGGTGCCTGCCACTTGCCCATTTTTGCAGCAACACAGACCTGGATGGCTGGCCACGTAGTGTGGCTGGAGTTCTGAGGGCTGCAGCGGGGACTCAAGAACTGGTATGTGGTCCCCTGGGCGGCTGGCTGTGTTGGGGAAGGGTGGCTCTGGGATGGTGTCCTCAGGACCCAGGTAGTTGTAGAAGGGGGCCCCGTCCGGGCCGTAGAGGCTGTAGTGCAGGTCCTCAGGCCCAGGGCCGTACTCATAGCCTGGCCGGAAGTGGACCCCGGCCTCGCGCTCGGCTTCAATCCGGGCCACGTTGCACAGCTGAGCGTAGACCTCTGTCAGGGAGGAGGGGGGAGGACACTGCCAGGTTCCTGGTAGCTAAAGCCTGGTGTGCAGTTCCCAGGCTCCTTTCCCCGGGAGAGGGAGCATGCTGGGACTGGTGTCCCCTGGGAGTTCCTGACAGTGCCCCTGCCCCGCTTTGTCCCCAGACAATAGGGATGGAAGATGGCCACACTCTTATTGCTCTACTCCTGAATCCCTCCTTCCAAGGTGAGGGCCTTCCCTTCCCCGGGGCCTATCCTCCCGTGCAGGCACGGGTCACCCTTCTCACCAGAGCTCCTGGGGGGGCACAGGGCACACTGCTGGCTCCAGGCCTCGCCATCCTGGCAGCAGCATTCTGTGTAGGTGGTGCGGCGCCCATGCAGGGGTTGGCTGCACACATAATTGGTGACCCTTTTCCAGCAGACGTCCATGTGAATGTCGTGGTCAGGCAGGTCCTCTGGTGGCACAGCACACAGAGGCACATGAGTTTCCCAGCCCAGACCCAGTCACCCCTGCTGCCCCACCACTCCAGACCTACTGACCTGTGCCGCCGGTGCTGTTCACGCAGCGCTGCTGGCCCAGGTCCAGGGTGAGCGGGGGGCTGCAGAAGCAGTGGAAAGAGCCTTCAGTGTTCACACACTCACCGTTCTCACAGACCATGTCCTGGCACTCGTCGTGATCTGTGGTGGCAGAAAGGCGGAAGGGATGTGTGGGGCAGTGCCAAGGTGGCCTGCCCATGGCCCGTCTTCGTGGAAGGGGGTTTTCTTGTAACTGATACTGAAGAAGTGGCACCCTGCTTCCCCCTCCTCCCCTGACCCAGCCCAGTCTGGGGCGGGTGCCCTCCACAGGGATGCCTAACAGGTGTCCAGCTACCCTTAGCTCACACCTGCCTTTTGCAGTGGGAACTCCCAGCAAGAATGGGGCTTGCTGGTGGGGGCCGGGCGAGCATTCACCTTTGGGCGCGGGGGTGGCGAGGGGTGGTGTGTGTCCTCACCTTCACACTTTCTGTGGGTGGCATCGTAGTGGTAGCCGGGATTGCACAGGCAGATGTAGCCAGGCACCGTGTTGAGGCACCGGCCGTTCTGACAGAGACCGGGCCCGAACATCACACACTCGTCAGCATCTGTGGGAGGGCAGAGCTGAGATGAGAAGCGGTATGAGCTAGACTTGATGGGTGTGAGTCCTGGTGCTGCCAGGTGCTAGTCAGTGGACTTTGGGCAACCTGCTTAAGTTCTCTTTGCCTCAGTTTCCTACTTAAAAATTTCTGGATACTATTAATCTCTTACAATTGTTCTGAAGATTAAGAGGTTAATATATGTAGGTGCTTAAATAGTGCTAGGCATGTAGCTACCACTTAAGCAAAGCTACTTCTAGGATTTCCTTCTTCAGCTTGAGGATTAGGATGTAGAAGGGCTCCTTCCAGAACTACCCGCTTTGAGTGTGAGTTCCCTGAAGTTTCTGGTTTTCTAAGTGAGGCCAGACAGATAAGCAGCTGCCTCTGGATAGCTGTACTTCCCACTCTGTCCCTGTGCCCTAGGACTGGGTTGGTCAAGATGTCATAGTTCATTCTGGAGGGTCTGGCCTCGGGAGAGCAGAGAAACAGGTGACACCGGCAGTAGGAGCTCAGGTCAGAACTTGTAGCTGCACGTCTGCAGGCAGTCAGCCCCGGGACAGGACCCAGGGAAGGGACCTGGGAGGCTGGGGCTTTGTGCAGAGCTTCCCTGGGGACCTCCCGGAGGACCAGGCTGGGCCAGCTCAGGCGAGTGGAGTCTGGGGAGGAGGGCCTTTAGGGAGTTTACCTGTGTACGTGGTCTGTCCAAACATCCAGGCTCCGTCCACGGGGATGTAGCCTTTACCACTAGGGCAGATCTCGCTGAATTCCTCTGTGCAAGGAGGCATCCAGGCTTAGAGACAGAAAGGCTCTGCCCCCGTCTTCTCTCCCCTTGTTTTAGGGTCACCTTGCAGAGCTGACACTGAGGGTTCAGGACCCTGAGGGGCCTTACCTGAGTCCTCAGCTGGGCAGAGGTCACAGGTGTCTCCCCAGCTGGCACCCTGAGTGCAGCAGCACTCGGCCTGTGTGGTGTTGCGGCCCAGAAGGCTGGAGCAGGGCAGCTGGTCATTCTGCCCAGAGTAGCATTCCATGCGGATGGGGCCTGGGGGGTGGTCCCCTGGTGGGGCCTCAGGAACACTCTGACCTGTGTGTGATGGATACCCTTTATTATTGTCTGTCCATGGCTCTCTGGGGCACCCTAGGTTTTCAGTTTATTTTCAAAATGTTTTGATTATATAGTAGCACTCCACAGTGTACAACACGCTTTTACTGTGTTTATCTCATGTGATGCTCTCAACAGCTTTATATTATCACCCCCTTTTACAGATGAGGCAGTTGAGACTTAGAAAAACTAAGTGACTTGCCACAGCCACCAGCTACTAAGTGGCACTGACCCCTGTTATTCTGGCCCCCAAGCCCCTGTTCTTTCTGGTATACCACCCTGCCATCCCCCACCATAGGGAGTGCCTCAGTCCTTGGCATAACCATACAGGAAGTCCTCCTCACTCCTCAGCTAATACTGCACTCCAGCCCCTCCCATCTTGCCTGTTCCAGGTCCTGTTTTCTTTTCCCCAAGTCAGAGGAGGCCAGCTGAGTCCTAGTCCAGGCCGGGATGATAGGCTGGACCCGGCAGCTCAGGGGTGGAGTGAGCAGGAGAGAGGGAGGCTTAGCTTCAAGGCCTCCCTCACCAAAGGGCTCCTTGGGGCCCCTGTGAGGCTCAATCTGAGATCCTTGGGTACCTTCAGTTGGCATCAGGGCTTCCCGAGCCCCCTAGACATTCCCTGGCCTGGGACGGACACACCTCTTGTCTAGACATTTGTTGCACTCGACTCCTTCCCCTGCTGCACTGCGTTCCTAAGTGGTACCCTTGCCCACACTGCCCCGGGCCCGGCCCAGCCTCCTTCCCAGCAGCTAGAGCAGCGGAAGTGCTTTGTAGGCCGCAGAGTGGTTATACGAGACAACGGGGTAGAGTATGGGGGATGCTCACCTCCAGCCACCCGAGGGCGGCAGTGCCCCTCCTGAGCGTCGTACTCCTCCAGGTCACTGGCACAGAGGCACAGGAAGGAGCCCTCCACATTCTCACAGAGCGCCGCCCCACACACCGCCAGCATGAGCTCACACTCGTTCACGTCTGCCAGGCACGAGGACAGGCTTGTGGGTGGAGAAGACGCAGCCTGTGCCCCCTGCCCCCCTGCCTCCAGCCCACTGGACAGATCCTCCTCTCTTCCCCGCAAAAGAAACAGACTAGGTCTTGGGAGAAGAGCAGAAGGGACCCAGCAGGAAGGAAGAACAGATGAACAGAGGACATGGGAAGGGAGAGAGGAGGAGAAGGGTGGCAGGAAAGGGTCATTAAATGGACACGGAGGAAGGGTTCCTCCCTCCGTGCACATTCTCCAGATGTGCCTCCTGAGACCCTGAGGTCTCCGGAGAAGGGGGTGCGCCTTCGCTAATATGCTTGCTCCCGCTGCTGCCAGAACATGGTCCTGTTTCTCCTACCAGCCTGGTCACGCTGCCCGCTATAGGGTGGAGCTGCAACCCCCCTTCCTTGCCCACTCTGTGAGGACCTATTATGGAGTCGTGTGACCTTAAACATTTCAGGAGGAGGGCCCTAGGTCCTCTATCCAGGACAGTCAAAGTGTGGAGATTGGCCCAAGGGCCTCCCGTTCCCTGGCCTAGAGGCTGGCTAGCCTGCAGGCTTCTCACCAACACATTCCCAGCCGGAGGCCGAAGTCTCGAAGCCCTGGTCACAGAGGCAGCGGAAGGAGCCGTCAGTGTTGTCACAGAAGCCGTGGCTCCCACACATGGTGTCGTTGGCACACTCGTCTATGTCTGTGGGACAGTGGGGACTAGGGTGTAGGGTGCACTCTTGCTCTGTTTGCTGAGAATACTTGGTCTATTGACACCAATGTCCATAAAAAGTGACTTCTAAACACAGGACAAGAACACTCTAACATTAACGTTCCTCTTCAGTTTTTGTGTAAGCCCTGCTCTTTGGAAAATATGCAGACTTCAAACAGCAAACTTCAAAACTGCAGAAACAGTGTCCTCAGTAGAAAGCAATTTTCAGCTGGATACGTGAAAGATAGGAGCCCTCAGCCCTCCTGCCTCCGACTCCCCATTCCTACTCACCGATGCAGTCTCCGGTCGGAGCCAGGTGAAAGCCAGGCTGGCAGCCCAGGACACAGCGGTAGGAGCCAGGGCTGTTCTCACACCTCCTGCCCTCACACACCGAATCTCCGTAGTCCTTACACTCGTCAATATCTGTCCCGAGAGCCAAGAGAGGGGGCAGAAGGGGGCAGGTTACTGCTTTGGCCCCACCTTTTTGGCATTACAAGGTCATGCTCCACAACCTTTGGGGTCCTTGATCTGTCCCAGATTACTGTGCTCAACTCCAAACCTTAAGTTCAGGATCATTTCTCCTGACCCAGTAGGGATGAGCATCTAGGAAGACAATTCTATGCTGTTTAGGAAAGCACCGAGTGCGTAGGCTTCTGTAATATATTTTTTCCTTCACCCCCTTCTCCCTATGGCAGAGTAGTTTATGCCTCTTTTTATATACAATCTTCACCAAAGAGTGCTACAGAAGATTGTCTTCATATCTGTCTCCCTTGCAATTTGAAGATTGTCCACAACTGTCTACTTTGCCCTAGCAAAAGACATTGAACCTAGCAGATGTTTAATAAATGCCTATTGGATCAATTTGGCTTTAAAAACTAGATTGTGTGCTCTGCTAGCACAAGGCTCATGATGGTCTTCATTTTGTCATCCGTGGATATGCCCGGAGTCAGCAGACGCTCAATAAACACATTCTCCATTGCATGATTGGCCTGTGGAAAGTGCTCTGCTTTCTGCAAGCTGCAGATCCTGGTCCCAGGGAGCTGAGGACCAGGCAGGGGTAGAGGTGGGCAGACGTGGGCAGAGCCCTGTCCACTCCCCCCTGGAGACCTTACCCTCACATTCCCCACTCTCTGGGGAGGGCTGGAAGCCTGTCTCACACAGACAGTTGAAGGAGCCCTCGGTGTTGACACAGTGTCCTCCCAGACACCGGTCTGTGACTGCACATTCGTCCACATCTAGAATAGAGACATCTGTCAGCAGACCCAGCCATGGGTCTCTGGGGCCCTAAGTAGTCCAAAGGAGAGCCAGAGAGTGCCTCAGGTTAGGGAAGAGCTAGAAGATCTGAGGAAGAGTCGGGAGCTGGAGGCCAGAGGCCAGGCTGGGGGAGGAGCCCCAGAACTGGGGCACTACCGAGGACAGCAAGGTGACAGCCAAAGGGTTCAGATGGCACATGTCTGTCATAGATATCATGGAGAGGCCCTGTTGAGTGCCTTCTTGAAACCTGGCTCCCTCTCTCAGCCTCCCACCTCCCATCCCTGGGTGGGGCCAGGAGCACTTTATTTCTAGTCTAGACATAGCCTCCAGCGCCCCCTGCTGCTGGAAAGTGGACATGGCTAAGCTGGCTTCTCACCCTGGCAGCTGGTGCCCCCCTCTGCGCTGGTGAAGCCTGGGGCACAGAGACAGAAGAAGGACCCATGGCTGTTGAGGCACTCGCCACGGGGCGCACAGTACTCCTCTCCCACGCACTCGTCCACATCTGCAAGAAGGTAGGTGTGGTGTCTCCCAGGCATGTTGCCCCCTCGCCCCCACACTCATCGTCCACGTTCCTGCTGGGGATCCAGAGCCACTCACCCTCACACACGGTGCCATTGGCCAGCTGGAAGCCTGCGGGACAGAGGCACTGATAGGAGCCAGCCGTGTTCTTGCACTCGCCTCCCAGGCAGCTGCTCTGGAAGTCTTCACACTCATCCACATCTGCAGGGTCACACAAGGTGGAAGGCAGCCCGTGGCAGCACCCTCCCCCGCCCTCCCCCCATCCCCCCACCCCCAAGGACAAGAACCAACAGGGAGGTCTCCAGAGGACCAGTCCCTTGCCTGAGGAGTCTGGACCCATAGGGGGCGCATCCCCTTATAAAGCAGCACAGCTGGGGGGCGCCTGGGTGGCTCAGTCGGTTGAGCATCTGACTTCAGCTCAGGGCATGATCTCACGGTTCGTGGGTTCGAGCCCCGCGGCGGGCTCTGTGCTGACAACTAGCTCAGAGCCTGGAGCCTGCTTTGGATTCTCTCTGACCCTCCCCTGCTCGCTCTCTCTCTCTCTCTCTCTCAAAAATAAATAAAAAAAAAAAAAAAAAAAAAGCACAGCTAGGAGGAGCCGGCGAGAGATCCTTGGGGAAGCAGTGTGCCTGCGGCTCCCTCCAGCTCTGCCCTAGCCCAGCAGCCTCTGGCTGGGCCTCTCCAGCTGCCCACACAGCAACCCCGGGGACACTTGGCCTCTCCCAGCAACCTTGGCCTACAGTGTCCAAATCCACTACCTTACCATGGCTGCGACGGCTTAGTTTTTCTGAGAAGCAGTGGTAAAACAAGTGAAGGAAACATACAGAGACCCTAAGAAGATACCAGGAACCAGGTTCTTTAAGTAGGCCTACAGAGTGCCTGGTACAGGCTGATATTTTCCAAAATACGGTCCCAGCTTCCCCCCTTACAAAGAACCCACGAAGCTTCATGTGGAACAAACTCCCCTGAAGCCCGTGATCCAGTGGCTCATTGGCCCACTAGAACCAGATTTGGAATTGCCTTCCCAGCTGCTGACGAGGGAAGGGTGAGAGTAGGTGTCCTCAGCTAGCCAGTCCAAGGTAGCCAGAGGGGCCCCTGGCCTGCAAGCAATCCCTGCTGCGTCTGGTCACTCCCTTCTCTAAGGGTGGTGAGGTAGTCTCCTGCACCCCATCTGTGCTCCCTCCCTCATGGTGGTGGGGGAAGGGAGTGCTCACCTTCACAGGTGTGGCCCAGGGGGTTGGGCCGGTAACCATCCCCACAGTCCCTGCAGGAGAAGGAGCCGGCAGCGTTGGTGCAGACTCCTGAGGGGCAGACTCCCGGAAAGGCACACTCGTCCAGGTCTGGGGCAGACAGCCAGCCAGTCACCCTGTGGGCCTGGGAGAGCTCCCTCTACCTGTCAAGGCAGGAAGCTCCCCACACACACGGCCTATAGGGCAGCCCTGGCAGCCTCTCCCCAGAATGCTCTGGGAGCAGCTCTACTATCAGCTTCCCTCCTGTCTCTGCGACTCCCTTTTTTTCCTCCTGTCCTCACCTCCAAACTTGGGGATGATGACAAGAGATGCTCTCCTTGGGGCCAAGTCCATTCATAGGGTCCTCTAGTCTAGTCTGGAGACCCCCCAGCATCAGCTCAAAGCTGGGGGACAAACGGAGTGTTCTTTGGGGGGTAAGAAGGCCTATATTCTTGATCCCCCTCTGCCAGCCCCTCCCTAGGTTTACCTTCGCAGGCAGTGCCATCTTCATTCACCCAGTACCCGCTCTCGCAGGCCGAGCAGGTGAAGGAGCCCTCGGTGTTGAGGCAGAGGCCCATGGGGCAGGAGGCCCGGCTGGCACACTCGTCGACATCTGAAACAGGCCATTGGGTTCTGTGTGGGACTCAGCAGGACAGACATGCCAGGACAGACGGAACGACAGGTGGGCAGGGGGAGGGGGAAGGACGGGTGGTGGCAGGATGTGTGGTTGCATCGGATGGTCAGGGATGTGGGACCAGGGCTGGATGAGGGGTGGGTGTGCAGAGGGAAGGAGCTGTAGGGTTTGCAGGGAGGAAGGGCGCTTCAGCATCCATGTACCTTGGCAGCCCTTCTCATCTGAGGTGACCTCGTAGCCCAGCTCACAAGAGCATCTAAAGGAGCCCTCCAGGTTGATGCACTTTCCATGGGCGCAGACCCCAGGGGTCAGACACTCATTTACATCTGTTGGAAGAGAAGTCCAAGATGGCAGCCTGGCCTCCTCTCCTTCATGTGGCCCCCACTGTCAGGCTTAGGGCATCTCAGTTATGAGGCCAGGAAGTCAGCATGGCCACCCTGGGGAGGCCATGAGGTTGTTCCTGCTCCTGGCCCCACCCACCTAGTTTAGGGCAGGGTGCCCTTCCCACCTGAGCCCACTGCAGCTCTATCTGGTAACACATAGCACTGTGCATGTCCTAGGAAAGGAGGCCAGGTTCCCCAGCACTGGGGCTGGTTTGGCCCGTCTGAGGACATCTGGAATGAAAAGTCCAAGACCCTTGGCTCCCCTTACAGTGGATCTGGACCTTTCTGACCTCCTATTTGCCAACCAAACTGGTGGGATTCCACATTCCCAGCCCAACAATCAGCTGCAATAGGTGAGTGGGCAATGCAGAGAGAAGCCAGTCTATGCCTGGGTGGCTGACTGGAGTCTCTCGGGCCTGGGAAATGCCTGCCCTCTCCAGAGCCTCAAGGTATTTATTCAGTTTAGTCCCTCCAGGCATTCTGAACCCTGGGCCTTTCTTCCTGATAGGACTGATGGGAAAGAACATTCTTCCTACAGCTGACATGTACCCCCCTCTGTAGGGAGCAGAGCACCCACTGTTGAGTTAGGTGTTCCTGTTTAGATATTGCTATTGAGATGCAGAAAAGCAGAAGACCCTCCTCCCTAGGGGCCATAGAAGGACTCGGCTGCCTGCTCACACCACCAGAGTCAGCCTTTTCCTAAGATTCTTGGCAACTCACTCTATCCTGTAGGATCCAGCCACAGAAGCTTTTGGAACCTTGGGCTGTAGCTCCTGGGTAGCTATGGACAAGGAACCAAGAGGCCCCCACCCAAGCTGATTCAGAGGGCAGAGCACCAGTAATTGAAGCACACCCATCTCATGCCCAACATCATGTGGGAACCCAGCCAGGTTATGGAAGACAATTGCCTCCAAGCCACTTCCCCCTGCCCATCTGCTTCCCTCCCTGTGTGTGGGCTCAACCAGAGGTCCCAAGGCCAAACAGCCCTCTTCCTGCCTTGGTGAGCAGCCCTCACCTACACAGCTCCCGCTCTGGCCCCGGTAGCCCTCCTCACAGGCTAGGCAAGTGTAGGAGCCGGGGGAGTTGACGCATCTCCCATCGGGGCAGGTGCCAGGGTGACGGCATTCGTTGATATCTGCAAAATAACATCCCCTCCCTTGGTCATCCCTGGGAACTGCAGCACATGGGTAGATCTGTGAGGAAGCAAATCCTTGACCCTGCCCTTGGTGGGGGAGGCAGATGGGGGAGAGGGAGGGATGCCGTTTCTGTACAGATGGAAACTAGGAAAAAGTGAGTGCTGTCTGGTGTTCCCAGCTCACCTCCCACCCACTGTCCTGGACAAGAGAGAGAGACAGAAGAACTTTAGAAAGGGAGACTCCCTGGGTGGGGCAAGAGGCTGTGGTCACCACAGCTCTGGGAGGGTGGGAGAGCTCTACTTCATAAGCTGGACTTTTGGGAAGGGCCTTCCTATCTGCCTTGGGGAATCCTGTTCCTTTACATTACTGGGTTGTACATGCTTAGTACAGCAGGTCCCAGAGAGCCCAGAATAGACCGCCAGCTGGGCAATGACGGCAAAATGGGCTTCCCTGCACCAGGAAATGAGGACTGAGGATGACCCCCAATCTCGGATGTGCCACAGACCAGCCCTGAGGCTGATGCAGAGTCAAGAGTGGAGGCTGGCAAGGCTTCTTGGCTGCAGAGACTTTTGTTCCAGGTGAGAACCATGTAGGGCTCCCAGCAGCCACCCTGCTGAGATTCGGGGGAGAGTCAGAAAGGATGAGCCTGGGCAGCAAGGAGGAGGACAGAGATCTTGCTCCCAGGAACTGCAGGCAGGGTTCTTCCTGATACGACCTGGCATATCCAGAATTCAAGGCACACAGGGGACTTGGGCTGACTTAGGGAGGTCATAACACAGGGATTACACTCTGGGTCAGGACTGCAGGAAGACACTATGTGCCTCCGGCTCAATTTGGAGGCTGCCAGTCACTATTTGTGACAGACAGACTGACTGAGCTCCAGAGGAAACGAGAGGATTTACTGTTCCCAAATGGGTAGTGTCATTCTCCTGGAGGAAGTCCACCAGCTTGTGCAGATTCAGAAGCTCGACTGCCCAAGAGGAAGACCTGCTCAGCACCCATGGAGGAAATGCAGGCGGCCGGGCCAAGGGTCAGAACACAGGCTTTCTGCAAAGGGACGAAAGCCAGCAGCTGCTGTGACAGAACAGGATACGGGCCCTGAGGTGGAGAGTGAAAATGATTCTCCTCTGAGGTTGTTTGGTCTGCAGAAGTCAGGCCACATCAAAGCCCTCTGTCCCAGGGCACCCGGGCCCTCTCAAGGCCAAAACTTCACCCTGAGGGCCCAGAAGAGGAAGGTATAGAGAGGGCAGGTAGTTATTCAGGTGGGTATCTGCAAGGAAATACCCAGACCCCGAGGCAATCTTGAGGACACTGAGATGAGGTTCATCTCTAGAAAGAGGGTAGCTAAGAGCCGCTGGTTGGGTTGTGGTGACACTGGGCTAACCTATTCTAAGGGTTTCTGAAAAGACAGAGATGGAGAGAATGAGACAGAAGAGGAGGACTGAAGCATCTAGGACCACCAACTTTGGCCCCTCAGGAGAAAGTTGCCAACACCATGCTCTGGGGACCTTAGCTGAGGTACCAGAAGAAGGATGGGCAAAGCCATTGGGAATGATAAGCAATCATTGCTTCAGGAGATAAAGAGAGAGGTGAGGACCCTTTTTTAAGACCACACTGAGGAAAAATGAAATCTTTGGATCTCTCCTACAGGGATCAGGTAGTGTAAGAAGGAGATTAGATTTACCAGGAGAAAACAGCCCTGATGTCTCTCCTACCCCAAACCTTCTGGGCACATCTGTGGAGGTGTTGCACAAAGTGTCCTATGCTGGGCATCAGGAGACTCTTGGTACTGACCCTGTTTACTAAATAGTCCAGCTTTCCCCCTGCTGGGCCAGAGTAGGCTTGTGCCTCCTGGTTCTTTCTCTCTTTAAGTTTATTTATTTTGAGAGAGAGAGAGAGCATGCATACAATGTAAGTGGGAGAGGGGCAGAGAGAGAGAGGGAGAGAAAGAATCCCAAGCAGGCCCTGTGCCATCAGTGCAGAGCCTGACATGGGGCTTGAACTCACAAACTGTGAGATCATGACTTGAGCTGAAATCAAGAGTCAGATGCTTGACTGGCTGAGTCACCCAGGCGTCCCATACCTCTTGGTTCTTTGGGTCGGACTAGGGCACTAGTGCTGTCTGATGAGCTATGATGTGCTATAATTTATGGACCAAGGCATAATTGTGAGCAACTCTTCCTTTCTTCCATGAAGACTGGCCACATTCAAGAGGCTGGCTATTCCTTTAGGCTAGTTCTAGAGGGAAGAAACATGAGGCAGGATCCCTAGCTGACCCATGACGGACACGTAGCATTGATCGGATGTCAACCTTGCTGTGTTCTAAGTCATGAAGCCTGGGGTCGCTTGTTAATGCAGCACAACGTAGTCTATCCCGGCACACCACTGCTGGCTTCCTTCCTCAGATCAGAGCCCCAGCCAGTGATTATTGTATGTGGGAGGTCTGTCAGCAATGTGAGAGGGAAGACAGAAGATCAAAGCAGCCCTTAGTCACCCCAGGAACCAAGGAAAGCCTCTCCCAAATGGGAGTGCATGTAACAGAGCCATCTGCCAAGCCCATCGAAAGGAGCCAGATAAAGATTCCGGATGAAGTAGATTTTACTTCTGACCAGTCCGTGTTAAGGGCAAAGGCTCTAATGTCACCAGATATCTTGAAGCTGTTCCACCAACCCCTTGGTATGTGGACTAGAGCTAGATTTTTTTCTCCCTAGTCTAGGGTTTGAATTTAAATCTAAAATTATTGTATATTTTGCTGAGCTCTAATACCGGGGTAGCTGGGGACAGGAGCTATTGGTCTCATTGTTATATTCCTAGCCCATGGCTGGGACAAGGCTGGTACTCAACCAATGTTGCTGACCAAAGAATGAGCCCACATGACCGAAACTTCATACATTATTGGTATGAGGTTCTGAAGAGACCCCAGAGGCCCCAGGGAAACAGGCACCCCAGGGACCAGCTTGCCAACTTGCCTGTACACTGGGAGGATCCTGGGTCTTCCCTAACCAGGGCTTCGTTCTTTGCATGAGGAACTGTAAGGTGCCCATCCCCATTCCTTGTGAGAGCACAGGGTGGGAGGGGAGGGCGCTCAGTCAGGGGCCAGAAGCTCAGGAGACCTGGAACGTGGTTGGGGGCACAGCAAAGCTCTGGAACCTGCAAGGGGATCCAACCCCTTTCCGTGGGAACCCAGAGTTTCTGGCATGACGGAAATGCCATTGAAACTTTGGATGGGCCGCTGTCCAGAGCTCTCAGGCCTTCCACCAGAGACACTGAATGTAAGTGGAGAGAGTGGTTTCTCAGTTGGAGTGAGAAGAAAGGGCGGGGAGGCGGAAATTGACTGGGCTCCCAGGGTGACGGCTGGGTCTGTGGTTACTGATGGAAACCTGGAGAAGTGTGCAGGCTACATCAGCTTTTCTTTCAGCAGACTGAATGTCTGCCCTGGGCCAGGAACTCAGCTTGACCTCCCAGCCGAGGTGTGTCTCGAACTTTTCCTCCAGAAGGGAAGGGGACAACGTGGAGGTGTGGACTGTGGTGTAAGGGGGTCTAGAGGTGAAAAAGAATGGGGCCTTCAGATAGAAACATTCCCCCCTATTCACTGAAGGTCTTGTTGTGTATATTAGCTTACTTGGTCCTCACAAGAACCTCTGAGATGGGCTTATGGTTTCCATTTTAAGATGTCAAGACAAGAGCCAAACCCAGGCCTGTCTCTACAGAGCCTCTGCCCTTAACATGGACTGGTGTGTATAAATATGATCTGTTTTAATGTCCTGGAATTTTCTTGGTTCATCTCCTTTGGGTTTGCTTTTCTTTTTGATAAAGTCTAATGTCAAATTTGTAATGTTGTCTGGGGCACCTGGGTGGTTCCGTCGGTTAAGTGTCTGACTTTGGCTCAGGTCATGATCTAATGGTTCATGGGTTCGAGCTCTGTGTTGGGCTCTGTGCTGACAGCTTGGAGCCTGGACCCTGCCTCACATTCTGTGTCTCCGTCTCTCTCTGCACCTCCCCTGCTTGCATTCTCTCTCTCTCTCTTTCAAAAATAAAAAAAAACATTAAAACATTTTAAAAAATGTAATGTTTTGATGCTTGAAAGAGGTAATCTGTCAAGTACGAGGACACCTCCTGGCACATAGTAGGCCCCCATCAACTCTCCATTCTCCTGGAAAATGCCAGGCTGTCTGACTCTATCATCCTTATGAGGACAAGAGAGAGCATTCTGGCTTTGGTCATGTGTAGGCCAGAGTATGAAAGGGAAATCACCAAGAGGGAGGCATTGAGATGAGAACATGACACCCTGGGGGTGCAGATAGAGAGTTGTCTGTCCTACACCCCCAGCCACCTCTCCCCTTTGCTAAGTAAGACCTTCTAGGACTCTGGACCTAGCTTCCCTGCTAATGGCATTGGGAAGGCACATCCTCCCTTCACAAGCTCTTCCCTCACCTCCAGGACCCTGTACAATCAGGCAAGTCCTTGCCAGGAAGAGCCTGGAGGCTGAGAGGTGTCTGGCCCTAACCTCAGATCCAGGACAGGATTTCTTTCCAGAGAGAGCCCTGATTTACCCTCATTTATTCCTGTCTCCACCAGTCTTAACACATAACCCAGGTCTCTTTTAAGCATTTGCCCTCCCCAGCCTGGCAAGGAGGTGGTAATGGGAAGTTGCCAAGAGCTGGCGTGATAGTGGCAGCTTCAAGCCAGTCTGTGGGGAGACTAATTGGCAGTGTCACAGCCACCTCTTGGCAGGGCCTGGGAAAGGCAGCAAGGGTTGGGGATCCATCAATCATTCTTCATTCACTCATTCAGCTAGCATTTGCTTACATTTGTCCAATGCGGGACATTTATCAGGTCCAGCCCCAAGGAGCTCCCAGCCCAAGAAGCTGTAGCAACTAGGTCATGGATGAGGCCACAAACACCTCCCAGACAGACCGGTTTCTCCTCTGTCATATAGGGGAGCAGTGTGACTCAGGCAAGGGGAAGAGGTGTACAGAGGGATATTCCCAGGGTCTCATGCATATAAAGTTGCTGTGCCCCCCTGCTGTGGGGGGCCCTGGGGAGGGACCAAGAGACGGTAGGGCGGCCAGCAGCCCTCCCATATCCCATTTCTTACCTTGACAGTGTCCCTTCCTGACCATGATGTAGCCCTGGTCACACTGGCAGTGGTATGAACCCTCAGTGTTGGTGCATCGTCCCCCGCTGCACACCCCTGGCTGCTCACACTCATCTATGTCTGTGAACACACAGGAAAGTCCTGGGTTAGTGCAGGGGTCCTGGGCCATCCCTTCAGAGGCCCAGGACAAGTTGCCCATGCTGAGGGCCAGGCAGGAAAAGCATCCTTGCTGCAGCCATGATTGGTGGGAGGCTCTTATGCCAGGTCTGAGACTGATCTAGCTCAGGCCCCTGCAAATTCTGAGGGCCCTTTGAGAGTATCTTTGGGAACTCTCAAAGCTGTCTTCTCACCCTGAGGTAAAGGCTGGTCTTGAGGACAGATGACAGTCCACATGGCATGATCTGAAGGGACCAGTAAAGCCCCCTTCTAACCCCAGGGCACCCTCTGAAGGTCTGATGCTGGAGTCCTTAAGGGTGTTCTTACAGGTTAGGGATTAAGCAGCCAGAGAGATAGCATCTTAGGCAGCCATGGATCTACTGAAGTGGTTTATTCCACTGTCCCAAAGCATACTGGTGTCCCAAGGTGGCTCAAAAGCCTGACCCTGGTCGTGTGACTCCCCTGCTTAAATCCCCCTTGGGGTTCCCTGCTGCTTCAGTATGGCTCACAAGGCCTTTGCCACTTGGCCCCAGCCTTGCTGTGTTTGCTGATCCCCACCGGTCTGCCACCAAGCCTTTGTTCATACAAATGTCTCCACTTGGAGTATCTTTCTTGGCCTCAATGGTCAGCAGCGTCCTACCCCCACTGGTTCAATTGATCCACTCGAGGTTGCTCCGGCCCCCCCCCTATTCCTTGTCCCCACAGTCAAATCAATGGACGATTTACCTTTGCCCCCTCCCCACCTCCCATCCCCCAATCCCCAGCGCTGGTTCAAACACTTCATGGGGGTCCCTAGGCAGATCAAATGAGATAATCCGAGTGAAGGGTCCAGCACAGCGCCTGCCTGACAAAGGGAAAGCACTGAAGAAATGTTAGCTATTATTATTCTAGCATTAAATCTACCATATAAAATCTGATCTCCGAGGCCTGGCATGTGCGATCTTTCATGATCTGGTCCTTGTCTGCTTCTGCTTGTTTGGTGCCTACCTCCGAGCCTCAGCCTACTCCTGAGCTCGGGCATGTCCTGCTGGCCTGCCCAGAGTGGCTTCCTGCCCACCAGCTTGGCTGCCTCCTACTCATCTCTCAGGTGAGGCTGACCTCTCCCCTCCACCCCATATGTCCCTTCCCAGGGTTCCCTTAGGACGCAGCCAAGTAGTGACTGTTCATTTACTTGCTTTTTCCCCGTACTGCTGAGAATGTCTCTTATTATCCCAATGTCCCTAATGTCCAGCACAGAACCCCAAATAATGCCTGTTGCATGAATGAAATACTAATCATTTGTTTACAGACAGTGTTTTCCTCTGGGTGGTACTCTATAACACTGTAGTGCCCAGCGGCATCATTGGCAGAAGGGGTAAAACTCACACCCCCAGGCCCACATCCAGGAATTCTACCCTTGCAGTACTGGACCCTTCACTGTAATAACTCTAAGGGCATTTCTCAGATAACTTGTCCTCACTTTGAGAAGCTGGGATCCCAGTGAAAGAGGAAAGAGAACCCAGAGGCAGAGCCACACGTGGGTACTTGATGAAGAGCCCACAGACCGGGTGGCTCAGTCGGTTAAGCGTCCGACTTTGGCTCAGGTCATCATCTCGCGGTTCATGGGTTTGAGCCCCGTGTCGGGCTCTGTGCTGACAGACAGCTCAGAGCCTGGAGCCTGCTTCGGACTCTGTGTCTCCCTCCCTCTCTGACCCTCCCCTGCTCACGCTGTCTCTCTCTCTCTCTCTCAGAAATAAAACATTAAACAAATTTTAAAACATACTATAAAAGGTGAAACTAACTTTTATGAAAGAAAGCATGCAAGTATATCTTTGTGGCCTTGGGATGGGGAAGGGCTTCTTAAATAAAGCCCTAAAAGCATAAAAAATAAGGCCAAAAGGTGAATTTCAATATGTTAGAATTACAGATTTCTGTTAAAAAGGACAGGTGGATAAGGTTAACAGAGGATGAAATGAGAGACTTGCAATATCTAAACCCAGGCAAGAATCTGGAGTATATAAGGAACTCCCAAAGAGCCACAGGGAAAACCAGCAGCCACTGGAAAACTGAGCAGAAAAATAGGAACAAGCAATTTTCAGATCAGAAACCCCAAGGCTAATGTATGAAGAGATGCTCATATTTATTAGTAAAGTAAATGTTGTTTTTAAAGTTTTGTTTATTTATTGAGAGAGAGAGAGAGAGAGAACCAGCTGGGGGGTGCAGGGAGAGAGAGAGACAGAGGATCTGAAGCAGGCTCTGTTCTGACAGCACAGAGTCCGATGTGGGGCTGGAATTCATGAACCATAAAATCATGAACTGAGCCGAAGTTGGATGCTTAACTGAATGAGCCACCCAGGCGCCCTGTAAAGTAAATGTTTTAAAAAATACTTAGGAGCGGGGGATGGGCATAGAGGAGGACACTTATGGGGATGAGCACTGAGTGTTATGTGGAAACTAATTTGACAATAAACTATTTGTAAAAAAAAAAAAAATACTTAGGAGCACCTGGGTAGCTCAGTTGGTTGAGCGTCTGACTCTTGATCTCAGCTCAGGTCATGATCTCAGGGTTTGTGAGTTTGAGCCTTGCATCAGGCCCTTGCTGGCAGTGTGGAGCCTGCTTGGGACCCTGTCTCTCTCTGTGCTTCCCCTGCTCTCTCCCGCTCTCAAAATAGAGAAATAAAATATAAAAATTATTTAATATCCAAACAATGTATAACAATTATATTAATTTTAATTCTAGAAATTGTTATAATTTATATTAATTCATTGTATAAGTTAATGCAATAATTCATACATAATTTAATAATGAGATGTTGCTTTATAAGATTGGCAGGATTTAGAAAGTGGATGTTATCCTGAATAAGGACCCATCAAGGGACAGCCAAGCCCCACTGGGTGAAGCAGTGAGGCTGACCTTGAGCTCCCTCCCCAGCTGCTGGGGCTGGCAGAGACATCCTGGACTGGTGACACCATTTCCTGCAGCGGCCACTGCCTGTCCCCGGCCGGTGCCGCAGGCTGGGCCTGCGGAGAGCAGTGCCTCTGACCTACACCTGCCAGTGCTGCTGAGTCACCTCCCTGAGACCCAGCCGAGTGCATTGCCACCTTCTGCTTGTAAACCTCTACTGGCCACCCACTGCCTTCAGGATGGGGTCCAAACCCTTCAGCCTGGCACTCAAGACTTCCCAAACTGGCCCCAGCTCCTGCCACTTCCTCCACAGACCACACGTTCCCAGTCACACTGGATTTGTCATTATTCCCAGAGCCTGCCAGGCTTGGTCACTACTCTGCCCTCTGCAGAAATGATCCCCTTTCTCTGGAATACTCCCTGCTATCCCCATTCCTTCGCCGTGCATGTTGTTGGAAGCAAACCATGCTTTGGGGCCAGAATGACTTTGATTCTGTTTCTAGCTCTGCCACCACTAGGTACGAGGGCCCTGGGTATTTCAACTCACCTCCGAGAGCCTCAGTTTGCTTAACTATGAAATGGGGTAAGGATTTCTACCGAATGGAGTTGGGAAAATGAGCTTCATACGATTAAGTGCTTAGGACAGTGTGAGCAAACAGGAAGTGCTTGTGAAATGGTAGCTAGGACCATTCCGCCTCAGTTCCAACACTCCTTCAGCGAAACCTGCCTCCATTCTGCCACGCAGAGCCAGCTGCTTCCTCATCTGGACCCCACAGCACCCCACGCACACGCTGTACTCTTCGTAGTATCCCAGAGCTCACGTGGTAGCCGGCACGCGGGTGCTCACACGTGGTGTGAATGAGGGCCACGTGTCATTCCTCCACCCTGATTAAGTTAGCTGCGTGTTCTCCCCTCCTCCCTTTCCCTCATATCAGGCGAGGGGACCCAGATGGGCTTGGTCTCTGTAGACCAGATCTTTGGGGGACTAGAACCTGGGGTCCCTGGTAAGGTCAGGATACACAGCCTCCTGGCCTCCAGGGCCAGACAGTGGGTGACTGCTGGGCTGCCCCGGCCAGAACCAGCAACGCGAGCCCCAGGAAGAGTTCTCCAGTGAAGTGTTCCAGCTGGGTTATGCATCGTAAGGCCCGGCCTGGAAAGTGCCTCATCATATTCTCTGTGAGCTCATTCATAAAAACGTATGCACAGGAGTTTTGCGTTGCAGCACAAATGCTGGATAGTCAGGGGTTTGTGTTGGAAGCCTCTCTGCCCAGGGGCCCCGTGTGGGGGGCCAGGCCTTCCCAGGGAAACGCAAACACTTGCCAGCTCCCTGAGCTGCTGAAGACCCGCGCTCCTCTTGCAAAGCCTGCTCCCCGCTGTGCCAGGAGTCCCAGCCGGTGTCTTCATGTGCCTCCCTCCTTACCCAAAATGAAAGTGGCTCCTCATCATTCAGAATTTGGGGAACCAGACTTTAGTTCTCATCTCCAGCCCATGTCCCCAGACCCCTCACACTCTTGGCTCCAGCCACACCTCCTTGGGGCCTTTGTGAATGGTGCGGTCTTTCCATTCTGAAACTCCCCTTCTGGTCTCAGGGTAGGGGTCGGCTTCCTCCCAGGGCCAGGTCACTGCCCTGTTTCTGTTCTCACAGCTCCCATGCTCCACACACTGCAGAGCAGTGGCTGGGTGCTGTGAACGCCTGGATCCTCTTCTACCTCAGTACTCTCTAGGGGAGAGTATTGCCTTGGCTTACCTTGGCATTCCTGTGTGGCCCCTGAGGTGGCCAGCGTGTAGCCAGGGTAGCAGAAGCAGGAATAGGAGCCCACTCGGTTGACACAGCGCCCTCTTCCTGCACAGGGGTCCCTCAGGCACTCGTTGTCATCTGGGAGGAAGGTGGGGAGGGAGGTCAGGGAGACCTTTCTTTGGGTACCTGCCAGCAACCTGCCCATGCTAGGAGCTGGACAGGGGGTGGTGCTGTGGTCGAGGAGGGGCTGAGGGAGCAGAGGAAGCCAGGCAGAAGCAGAATCTCTAAGGCTGGGGTCACAGTCCGCCCACAGGGACCACTCACGCACCAAGGGCCTGGGCCAGTGGCCCAGCACTTCCTCCCTGCCCATGTCCCCCATCCCCAGTGGCCTTCTGATCACTTCCTTTCTTTCAAGGCACAGTGGATGTTTCTCTCTTGAATAAAAATATTGAGGAGGTGGTCAGTGGAGACCTCTCCAACGAGGGTAGGCCTTGCTCTGCTCTGTGGGCAGCAGGATGGCTAGTTGGAGGCGTGGGCTGATCTCGGAGCTGAGGGCTCCAGGAATGGGTCAGGGGCCCTGGGGGGCTTCCCACTCTTCTGGGGTCCTGGAGACTCATCCGATGGTGCTCTCAGAGACTGGTCTCCCCAAGGTTAAGGTTAGCTCTGTCTATAGCGACGGCATTCTTTTTCAACTCATCGAAGCTCACAGCACTGCTTGGACCTTCTGTTGCCTGGACTCTTGACTCTGTCCCCAGTCACTGAGCGAGCCCAGGATGCCCGAGTGCCTACCCGTGCAGTAGGCCTGGCTGGGGTGCAGCTGGTAGCCGGGGCTGCAGATGCATTTGTACCCATCTGGGAGGTTCACACAAGTTCCAGGGCCGCAGATGTTGGTGGCTCCAGCGGCGCATCGGTCAACGCCTGTGACAGAGCAAGGCAGAGGTCATGGTGGAGTGAGGACAGGGGAAGGCATGGGGAGAGTGGGGGGGGCAGGGCACAGGGGCCTCAGAGGACCCACAGAAGCCTCACCCCTCTCTCGGCTGGGCCCTCCCATATCCACATGTAGCATGGCCTGGTATAAGGTCCCATGGCATACCTCCCAGGACCCTGAGTCCTGGCGGGGGCTGGGGGGAGCTCCCAGTAATGCATCCCCCTGACCACGACCCAGTGGGCTCCACTAGCCCGTGTCCCAGCACAGGATCTCCCCTGCAGAGGCCTCCAGCCTGACCTCTCTCTGAATAAGGGCTCAGCTCTCACCACAGTCCCCAGAGACAGAGCTGGTAAGTAGGGTGCTGAGGGAGAACTGCCAGAAGTGGGCTGGGGACAATTGAGCAAGGCCTTGAATGCCATGTTCAGACAGGCCTAGGAGAAAGGGGATCATGCAAGGAGGAGTATGATCAGGGCTGTCTCCAAAATACCCCTCATCTGGCTATGCCATCCTGCTCAGAAAGGTAGCAAATGGCTGATGGACTGGGTGGGGAGGCATGGGGGGCTCTCAGAAAACCTATTGAAGTAATTTAAACAAGGACTGCCTGGGTGGTGTGGGGAGGCAGATGCTGAATTCAGAAACAGTTTGTTGACTTACCCGGACTCAGCGCTGAGGCTGTAGGGAGGGCATAGACTCTAGCTTTTTTGAACTGTGTCCTTAATACTAGAAAAGTCCCTGGTACCTAAAGCATGCTGAGTGAACCACTGAGTGAGTGAGTGAGTGACATGTCCAGCATCTGTGTCTGCCCCGAGGTCGCGGCCGGAAGCCCACATACTCAGGGCTCCCTTGCCCTGCCCCACAGTACCAAGGTCACCCTGGAGGCCCAGGGGAGTGGGTGGGGGCGATGCCTGTGTCAGTGCACAGCAGGGCTTCACAGCATTTGCTAAACGGGACAGAACTGAATGTGCACACTGGCCTGTTGGCAAGGCTACCCCGTCCCTGGCCTGACTCCAAGTCTGGGTCAGCTTGGGGGTTATAGGGACCCCATGCCGGGTTCTAAATATCCTCCCAGAGGGGTGAGGTTGGGGGAAGGCAGGGGAGAAGGGGGATTAAGCTGTGGGTGGTGACGGAGGAGGGGATTGTGTACCCCCCACAGAGCTGAGAGCCACTGCTTGAGCCTCCCCTGGGCTCTTCCTCCTGCCCCCTGTCCCTGCCTCCAGGCCCATTTTCCCTGTCGGAGAATCCCCCAAGGGAGCCCCTTAACTCAGCTTATCTTGCCTGCCCAGCAGAGGGGGACAAGGACGCTCCCTGGAGCAGTGCACTGAGCACGAAGGAGAGAGGTCCTGGAAAGGGCAGCAGGACACCCTGGTTCAGGCCTGGGTAGGCCAGCCCCCTCCTCCACCCCACACTCTCTGGACTGTTCCTTCGGCCTGCCGCCTGCCGGCTGGCCCTGGTCTCTCTTTGTTAGATGAACTCCGGAAATCCCGCCTCCCGAGGTGAGCTCGGTCTGTGAGGTTAAGAGATCAGCCAGCCCCTGATGAGGCACACGTGAGGGTGCACGTGAGGGCACACGCATGTGAGCACACGCGTGCACAGGGAGCAGCAGTTCCGCAAACAATGAGCCTTTGAGGAGGGCACATTCCAGAGCAAGGTGGATTTGCCAGGGATCTCCCCCTCACCGCACCCCTCACCATTGCGGCCGGCTAGAGAGCGGGAGCCCAGGCTCCCAGACAGTTAAACAACCTTGAGAACAGAACCACTTTCCTTCCCGAAAGTCGGCCGGCCCTGTGGGCAGGAGGCTGCCCTCCACCAGGACACTCAGCTGACTCAGGGTCAACAGCTGGGGGAAGCGAGGCTCCCGGAGGCTCCAGAGGCTCCTTGCGAGGGCCCCCGGGTTCTCCTAGAAGATCTCTGAGTAAGAGGCGTTCCGGAGGCCTTTCTCTTTCTCCTTCCCCACTTGACTGGTGCTCCCCACAGAACTCCTGTGTTCATTAGGGGTGCCCTATGATGAGATGAGCAGGGATTCACTAGAGACTGTTCATCTGGTGGGCAAGGAGGCCCTGCAGTTGGCTCTGACCAGCCACACTTCACCAGGCCGACGGCAGGTACCTGCGGGGCCCAGGGCCTCCAGCCCGTCATAGGGGGCGGTCACTTGCTCTTCTTCCTGGCTTTCTGGAATCTCCTGTCCAGGAAGTGGTGGTGTTGGTCTTTCTATGGCATCTCCTGCGATGGGGGAGAGGAGAGAGCAGCTGGGCCATGGCCCCTTCCACTTGTCTTCACACCCCCGGACAGTGCTCCCTCCAGAGATGCTGGCAGTGGCCCTTCCCGCTTCCCGCTCATCCAGCTGCAGGACCAGGCGTGGAGCCTCGGGTGGGTTCTGTCCTGACTTCCCTATCTGTCTGCTCCAGATAGAGTCAGAGAATCTGAGAGCTCTAACGGGCCCTAACACAAATCCGGTCTCAGCTTCCGTTTCACAGGTTAGGAGACATGCTCGTGGGAACGACCACCTGTCCAAGGCCAGCTAGCTTGCTGGAGACAGACCCTTGAACAGTGCCCTGTCCCCAACCCTGGTGGCCCTCTGCAAGCTGGCCTCTGCAGAGCTCCAACCTTTTCCCAAGGGGAGACAGGCCCCTGGGGAAGGGCTCCGGGGACCCAACCGGCCCCAGCTTCAGCCAGCACTTCCTCTTTGGTCTCGTTTATATGCCAAGTGGCACCATGAAATGCAGAAAGGGTGTTGTGGCTAGGGAAATATTTGCATCTCGATGTCTTTCACCAACCTTACAGCACCTTAGGTATATAGAACCCCCAGAAAAATAGCCTTCACATGTCACACCATCCACGACCTCATCTGGTTTGAGCCCCACGCCTCAGCCTGTGTTACAAACTCTGTGGTCTCTCCTTCCCTCCCTTCTGCTTTCTGGGAGCTGCTAGGAGGAGGGACTCACCTGGGACCCAGGCAGGTACTTGGGTAACATTGGTTGTGACCTGCACAGAAAGAGAAGGTCACTGTTGATTCCTTTGTCACCCTTCTTGACATGCTTTCTTCTGCCACACTCGCCCCTGCGTCCAGGCTTCTTGCCCACGTCACTTACTCACTTTCTCATTCATTCTAGGTAGTGATGAGTTCTTCCTAGATGCTGGGCATTCTGCCAGCACATTCTGTCCACTGTCTGAATTAATCTGCCCAACTAGCCTATGGTAGTAGCTTGTAATGATTCAGTGAACTGATGATGTATGTGGCGTGCCAGACCTGTGTTACGTCAGCAGTGCTCAATGATCTCTGAGCCCAGACAAAGCCACAGAAGCTCTGGGGGTTAACTAGCCTACCTAGGATCACAGGACCAGTGCGGTGAAGCCAAGACCCCAGGCCATACCTGCTGTCCCTCACCACAGCTCACAGACAGCAGCAGTGAGCCAGGAGGAGAGAAGGGACAGGGGATGACAGCAGGCCAGGAGCATGGCTGGGGGCTATATAGACACAGAAGTAGACTCTGGTCTGGGAGGACAACACATGATTCTCCAGGGAGAGAAGCGGCTCACTGGAGGAGCGGGGTTTGGGGACAGTCAGGTAGGTAGGTTGGAGGGTCAGGGGATGGGGTAGGGCCTGGCGAGGGAAAAAGCAGGTTCACTCTCCTGGGATGTCTTTCCAGAAGGACATTTGGTTCCTCCCAGGGGAGTCTTGGGTGTGGGGAAGGGAGCGAAGGGGTATGAGGCCAGCCACAGCCCTGCTCTACTTTCCCACAAGCCACCCACAGAGGAGATCTTGTAAGCAAACCAGGCTCAGAAAGCGCCGAGTCCAGAATTCATCTGGAACCGGTTCTAGACTTTATCTGCAGTATAGGACATGTTCCTACTTCCTTTCTGTAGGTGGCCCCAGAGCACCCCAAATGAAAGACTGACTGCATGAGAGCTGTTGTTCTGACTTCCCTTGGGGTAAAACCAGGTCTTCGGGTGACTGCCCCCCACCCCCACCCCCACACCAGCATCTCTCCAGGTAACACCCCACATATACCCTCTCGGTCTCCCTTTCCTCCTTTGGGGGACACTGCCCTGCAGCCTCAGTGGCTACTCTGCCCCCCTCTCTGGCACGCTTGCCCAACCCTTGGTGGGTGGATGCACTCACCTGGCCGGCCTGGGCGTCTCCTGGGAGGGAAAGGAAAGAGCATGAGCTCATGGAGGAGAGGGGCTGCCTTCTTCCCTCTACCCACAGCCAGGTTTGTTGAGTCACTGACCTCCTGACCTGTTCCCAGAGGTCAGCGGTGGAGAGAGTGCAGCCTCTGCCCCTCTTGGCCTGCAGGGACTGGCCACCACAGACCCTAGAATGCCAGGTCTGGAGGGCCTAAGAGGTGGCTCCCTGGGTGAGAGGAAGCCTTCAGCCTTCCCCTAAGGCGTCTGTGACAGGAGTTCCACCCCTTCCCGGGCTGATCCACCCATCTGTCCTGACTGTAACCTTCCTCTTTGCTCTGCCACCTCCTCCTTCTCAAGCCTCCCGGCCACACCAGCTCACTCCGCCTCTGGGCTGCGGCCCAGGGCAACAGTTCTAGCAAGAGAGGCTCTGCTCCTCGCCTGGCCAGCGTCCAGTCCCCATGACTGGGGCTCTGTCCGGACTCCCCTGTCTGTTTCAGATTCCTGGAGCAATTTGGCCATCATGTAGCTCCCCTGGTCCTAGTATGTCCTTGGCCTCCTGTGCTCGGTGCTACCAGTAACCTGGGCGCACTTGCTGCGTGACTTCCCAGGGCTCCTGCCAGGGGTGCCTCAGGCCATCTCTTCCCAGCCTGTGCCTCCCGGGCCCAAGGCGGCTGAGCTGGCATTGGCGCTTTGACTATAAGGCCAGGGGAGGCAATCAACTGTGCCCAGACTCCCCAGGACCTTCCTGCTAGCCCTTCAGGCCTAGCAGCAAGCACCAGCGCCGGAAGCTGCATGGCCCGGGGCCAGGGGCCAGAAAGGACTGATGGGTTGGAGTGGGGGTTGCTGCTGACCTCTCCCACTTCCACCAGCAGCCCTTGGGATGTGGGCACCTTTGACCCCATATGGGAGGAGAAGGAGGTGAGGCCTTCCCCTCCTGCCAGGCCAGGAGAGCAGGCTCCCTGCACTGCTGCTCTCGACTCCCCCCCTCCCCACAATGCTCCAGAGCTGGGAAGCCACGGATCCAAGATAGACACTGAGTGGCTCTTTGAGGGGGAAGAAGAATCCCTCAGGCACCTCCCCCAATCCAGATACCCTTGTCAGAGATGGTCTCAGCCTCCAGCCAGGTATCAGTGACTGCTCGGAGCGGCTGCCTCTCCGCTGGCCTGAGCAGGGTCCCATAGCTCTTCTGTGCTTGCTCCCTGGAGGGCCTGGCCAGTTCCTCCTCCTCGGCTTTCCTCATGGCCAGGCGGATATGTGAGCTGGAGTAGGTGTAGCCGTGGCCAGCAGGGCAGATCTCCCTGAAGCCCTCTGCAAGGTCACGGGTCAGAGGACAAGCTGAGAGGTGCTGTTCCTGCAGGAGCCCAGGGTCCTTCCTTCCCTCCCTTTGGGGGACAAGCTGTTGTGGCAGCAAGGGAGGAGGGAGCCAGGTTGGGGTAAGGAGTTGAGCAGGAAGGATGGAAGATAAGCATCTTCTGGCTGGAAGTGAAGTCCAGGTGGGAGAAAATGGCCGCTGGCTCGGAGGAAGCCCCTTGGTGGCCAGAGCTGAGATGAGGAAAGGTGCTTACCTGTGCCAGGGAGGGGACATCTCTCGCACTTGCTGCCCCAAGCTTTGCCCACTCGGCTGCAGCAGCAGATCTGCTTGGTGATGCTCTGGGCCAAAGGCAGGGTGCAGGTGCCAGCCCCCAGCGACCGGTAGCACAGCCCCTGCTGCATGGAGATGGCCTTGTCGGCTGCAAAAGACACAGCAGGTGGGGTGGGCAGGTGGCAAGTCACGGGGGAAATGGGGGGGGGTGGAGGGGCAGTCGATGGGAGTGGCTGCTGGCGGTACACCCAACAGCTGGCCTGGGCCAAGTCTCAATCTGCAGGTTTGGGCCCTGAAAGCACTCAAAAGAATGTTGGGAGGAATAACCACAGTGGAAGGCTTTGGTCTATCTCCTTGGGTTACCTGTTTGAGGGGCCCCTTGATTCCCACTCTCCTAGGGAGAGCCTGAGGGCAGGAAATTGGGATGTACGTGCCTGTCTCCAGGTGCCAAGTTTACAAGGATTTACAAAAACCCACCACAGGCCTGGGGTTTGGTGGGGAGCAGTGTGCCCTAGGGCCAGAGTCACCCTGGGGAGATGGGACAAGGTGAGAGCCAAAGGCTTGATGAGGAGCTTTGAGGACAGGGACCCTGTCCTGACCATCTTTGTAGCCCAGGTGCCCTGTGCAGTGTCTGGTGCATGCGGATGCTCAGTAAATTCTCGCTGGACCGATGTGCATGGATGGTTAGATCCACAAATCAAAATCCTGCGGACCACTGTGAGTGTGAGTTATGCTGAGTTTACATGATAATAATACCACCACCATTGTCTCCTTTTTCATCTTTTGATAATGAATATTAAAGACTACCCTCCCTTATGTTATCTTAATGGAAGACAAAGAGGCCACGCCATGCTGGAATGGACTGAATTCCTTGTAGGGCCGGATAAAGGGACAAGAAATGGCGGAGAAGACAACACTCAAAGCTAAGGAGTTAATGACCCTGGGGAAGTCAAAGTCAGGGCCCAGGACTCAGCAGAGCAAGTTCCAATCCCTGCTTCACCAGGAGCTATGTGACCTCCCTGGGCTTTACTGTCTTCGTGTGTTAATTCCATGGGGAGTAGACACCTGTGTTCCTGCCTGCTTGGCATCTATGCTCCTCTATTCTAGTATTAGCACCTTGGCTTTCCTCTGCCAAGTGGAGTAGAGGCAACTCTACTTCCTAGCTGAAAGAGTCCATAGCTCTGGTCACAGTGAGTGGGTCAGGGATGGGCACTTGACCAAGTATGCCCAATAATAATCAGCTTTGGGACTTTCCATGGATTATTAGAAAAGAAAGGCTTTTTATTTCCCTATTTTTAATGTTTATTTATTTTTGAGAGAGAGACAGAGTGAAAGCAGAGGAGAGGCAGAGGGAGACACAGAATCCAAAGCAGGCTTCAGGCTCTGAGCTGTCAGCATAGAGCCCGATATGGGGCTTGAACTCATGAACCGTGAGATCATGACCTGAGCCAAAGTCAGACACTCCACTGATGGAGCCACCTGGGGGGGGTCCAATTTCTCTTATTTTTTTTTTTTAATTTTTTTTAAAATTTTTTTATTTATTTCTAGGAGAGAGAGAGAGAGACAGCGTGAGCAGGGGAGGGTCAGAGAGAGAGGGAGACACAGACTCTGAAATAGGCTCCAGGCTCTGAGCTGGCAGTCAGCACAGAGCCCGACGCAGGGCTCGAACCCACGAACCGCGAGATCATGACCTAAGCGAAAGTCGGACGCTTTACCGACTAAGCCACCCAGGCACCCCTAATTTCTCTATTTTTAAATTGGAGTGTGTGAGGCTGGGAGATGTAGGCCTGGAGTGTCTGAGTGTCTGGGGGCCACCTTTGAAGAAATTATGAAATCAACACAAAGGAAACAGAGCAAGAGGCATCCTAAAGACACTGTGTATGCGTGGATCCAACCGAGCCTGAGGCATACCTACCCCTGGACTTCCTAGTTGTGTGGACCAATCAATTATTTTTGCTTACAGTGGTTTGAGCTGGGTTTCTGTCACTTGCAATCCAAAGATGCCTACCTAGTATACTCTCTCCTCCTCCTCCTCCTTCTTTATTTAAGTAATTTCTATACCCAATGCGGGGTTCAATGTCATGACCACAAGATCAACAGTTACATGTTCCTCTGACTGAGCCAGCCAGGCACCCCCTGTCTGATACACTTTCTTCACAATGACGTATGTGAAAGTGCCTTATCAGTGGTCATGTGCTACATACACAGACCAATCACGGGTCAGAGCATAAGCCTGGGTCTCCAGCTATATTCTATGCTTTGGGCAGCTACTTCCTTTACAATACTGTAGGGAGTAGCTCAGTGCTTATATATTTTTTTAAGTTTATTTATTTTGAGAGAGAGAGAGAGAGAATGCACATGCACACACAAGTGGGGAAAGGGCAGAAAGAGGGAGAGAGAGAATCCCAAGCAGGCTCTACACCACCAGTGTGGTGGCTCTTGGTCCTTTTGAGCCCCAGGGCAGAGGGGACCTGGCTGAACATATCAGGAGGCTGCCCCAGCACAGAGGGACCCTTGTAGACTGCTCTACTGGCCCTGGTCAGGTGGCAGAGAAGAGGGCAAAGCTCAGAAATGAAGGGGAAAAAAACTTCATGCCTGTCCCCTTCCACCGACAGAGGTAAATCATCAGCTGGAGGGGGTAACAGTAGGGAGGGAGAAATGATAAAGAACACCCAAGGGCCATCTCTGCCTCCCTGTATTAAGGGTTTCTTTCTGGCACTAATAAGTGAAGAAGTCACTTCAGGTGTTAAATATGCCTGCCCAAGAAAGCAATCTCAAGTGGGGGGTGAGATGAGGAAAAGGCAGTGCTAGATGCTTCTCAAGGCCTTGATCACATGTCTTGTCACCATCAAGTCTTCCTGAGAGCCGCCAGACATGGTCTCCCCACTCGGGGCCTCCTCACTCTCTGGGTGTCCCCTCTTAAGGCTTTTAGTGTCTCCTTTCCCTGTAGACACTTACTGGGTCCAGTGTCCTCTTTCCCTTCACATGGATGCTCGCTCTGGGTGGCACTGGAGCCTTGCTCATCCTGTGGCCTCCCCTGACCCACTACCAGCTGGTTTGTAGACTGAGGGCTTGGCCAGCCCCAGGGGGCTCTGCTGAGCTGGGCTGCCACTTTGCAAATGCCAGTCAGGACTGGTTTTATTCAGTTCTGGTCAGGCCTCCCTGCCCAAGTAAAGCCCTGTCTGGGCCGTGGCGTCAGTCCTGCTATCTGGGGGTGCTGCCAACCTGGGCCTCTCCCAGCGGGAAACCACAGAGGCCACTGGAAACAGCTGGCTGGAGCTACACACATGCACACACACAGACACACACAGTGTGCACACACACAGACACGGCGCTGACATGACCAGTGACATGTTTCTATTCGTTGACACAGACACATTCTGAACCATAAGGGACCACACAGTTATGGGAAGGCCGGGGGGTCAGGCAGCTGTGCCATTCATGCCCCAGACAGGCCCTTTAAGAAGAGGCTGCAGTAAAGTGATCAGGCTGCTAAGGTTAGGCCCTGGAAGAGGCAGTCACAGCTCAGCCAGACATCAGAGCAGAGGCAACACACATCCTCCCCCCCCACCCCCCACACCGCCCCAAAGTAAATGAGGCAACAGATAGGACAGAAAGGATTAGAGAATAAACAGAAGCAGAAAATCCCAAACTGCAAAACGCCCCCCCCTCCCCCCCCCCCACCAAACGTCAAAAACCAAAACTGAAGTCGTAACCATCTCTGCTCCAGCAGGCGGGAGCGGATCAGTGTTTGTACAGTGGGCTCAGCTCCAGGTTGAGATACAGCTCCTGGGCCTTGGGATGGAGCCCGGGGGAAATGACTGCTCTGGGCCTGGCCAGGGGGGAGGGGGACACCCTGAGGATCCCACCTTGCCTCCCAGTGTCCCCCGCGCCTGGTCCCCACCAGCACTTACACACACAGCGGCTCCTGGATGGGTCCAGCATGAGGCCAGGCCTGCAGGTGCACAGGTAGCTGCCCCTGGTGTTCACACATTCCGAGTCCTTGCACAGGCCCAGGGTCAGGCACTCATTGATATCTGCGGGGTTGGAGGAGGTGAGTGAGCACCCGCCCCACCAAGGCCCGATGGAGGGGAGGGGCCGGTGCAGAGCTCTTCACACATTTTCTCCAAAAAAAAAAAAAAAAGACAATAGAGCTGCCATGTGCCAGGTACCATGCGAGGTGGCTTACATATGATACCCCATTTAATTCTTATCAATAATTTTATCAAGTAGATCCACGTGGCTTCATTTTATAGGTGAGGAAGCAGGTTCCAGGAGTAACTTGCCCAGAGTCACCCAGCTAGTAAGTAGCATGCTGGGATACATACGAGGGGGGTGGATAAGGGCACAGTTCGGGTTGGAGGATGGGGAACCATCTGCCCAGCCCCTCCTATTCAGCCTTCCTGGAGAGACTCTGCAGGCCCCAAGATCTGGGGAACATATCCACAGTGGGCTGCAGGATGGAGGGGTCCAGCAAGGACGAGGGGGCAGGAGGCTGGAGGCAAGCACTGAGGGGCAGAGGGTTTGGAGGCTGTTTCCAGGAGGCGGAAGGCCTTAGGCAGACCACACACATCCTCCGAGACCAAGGGGACACAGTGCTGTTCTTCAAACAAGGGAGTGACATTAGCTTCCTTTGTGATCTCAAAAACATTTCATGCTGGAAACTTCTTCCTGCCAAGGGGAAATCCCAACCCTCACTCTAAGCTCCAAGAAGTCTTGGTGATGGGACCCTTGTTGACTATGGTAAGCATGGAAGATCTGTGAGGGGCACCCCCGCCTCCAGGGCCAGGAGATTAGCCAGTGTCACCTGCTCACACCTGCACTAAGCACAGGAATGAAGGGGTTAGAAGGTGGCCCAACTACTCTTTGGCAGGATACCCGATTGGGAGGGAGGTATCTGGGGAGATGCCACTGAGATCTAGGAAAGGGAACAGATCCATCTGCTCCTGGACTGTGGCCCTGGTGATGTATCTAAATATCTAAATGCAAATCTAACATGCCTCTGGGGTCCCCATTCACCTCCTAGAGGGAGCCCCTAAACCCTCACAGGGCATCCAATGCTCTCCATCATTTTCCCCACAGCCTGTGATGGGCAGCGGGCTCTGGTGAGGCCCTGGGAGATCTGTGTGGTCTCCCGTGGTCACACAGGCTGTACTCCAGGCAGCCCAAACTGTCCCTTTGTTTGTGCTGTTTCCTCGGCCTGGAATGCCTGCAGACCCTTTAGCTGGTCACCTCTATGCATTCTTTAAGTCTAGATCGGGTGACACCTGAAGCCCCTACTCCTACCCTTCCAGTCTGGGAAGGAGCCGCTACCATGTGATCCCACAGCACCCAGAGCTTCTTTCCAGCGAGAGCACTTCTTCCATAGTGTGTAATTGTTTAACTGGCTGTGTTCACCTGGGGTAGCCACCATGTTTATCTGTCACTGTGTACTAGCACCTCGCACAATGCGTGTAGTTCATGACAACACCCCAAAATTATCCTGTGGAAGGAGAGAAGGCTGGAGAGAGAGAGAAGGGTGATGCACACGGGTACAGAAGTGAGCAGATCTCTTCCCAGATATGGAGACCAAGACCACAGACATGGGAAAGGGGAGTTTTAAGGGGCAGAGCCTCCTGGGTGGGGCCTCTTGGCTTCTTATATCCCTGAGGCTCAGTGGAGGGAGGGCTGAGAGCTCACTTGAGGTCCTGGGAATAACTTTAATCCTGTTCACTGGGAAACCAGCCAGAGGGAGAGGCCACTGGGGACAGCTGAGATATGAATGGTCCTACTATACCCTCCAAGGGCAAAACTAAACACTTCTTTCTACACCCACTGTCCAGTCTACTAGTCCCCATTGCCCCCAGGGGAGTCTGACCTTCGGCTGGGTCAGAGGCCTACCCTTTTGCCTGGTCCAAGCACTTGATCCATGGTCCAGAAATCCCCTCTGGGCCTGGCACGCTAGCACAAGCCTAGCCCTCCCAGGACTTCCTCAGATCCCTCTCTCCTGAGGAAGCCTCCTGGGGGGAGGGGGTACCTAGGAAACCATCCGGGTCAATCCTCTGTCTCTAACTCAGCTTCATTCAAGGCAAGTCAGACAAACAGCAGTGTGTCTAGTTCTCCAAAGCAGAGGCTGCCTCAGCTCCCCACTGACCTCTGCCAGCCCCAGGAGCCTCCCAGCTGGAAGGCCCTGCTCATCTCTCCTATTGCCAGGCCCCCAACCAACAGGGACTCCCTGCTCAGAGCCTGACCAGCTCAGTGACAGCAGCTGCCCCTCAGTGAAGGCTTCTGGACCCTCAGTCATGCTGGTCCTATCCCCCATCCCCCCAGAACTCCCTATAGTGACAAAGCCATAGCTGAGACCCACTTCTCTCCCCTCTGTCCTAAGGTGCCTCTGGGCCTTGCCCCTCTGGGGGCTCTGGAATGCAGAGTGTTCCCGGCCCTGGCTGGCCTTAGACAGCCTGTCAGCCAGGCCAGCAAGGCCAAGGGCTAGACTTTATGGTCCCCTGTTCCCTCCCTCTTCCTCCTCCCTAGCTGTGGGAGTCAGGTGTGAGTAGCTGAAGGCACTATGTTGGGAACAGTCCACGGAGGTTCCCATCAACTCAGGCTGACTTGGTCCTGGAGTCAAAAGTCCTCCCAATATGGGGAGATTGGCCCAGGAAGTGAGTAAACATGTCGGGACCATGGCAGTGCCTGCACATACAGACCCACAGCTCTAGAGACCCACCTAGTCCAGGTCCAGTAGGGACGGTGGGGATGGGAGGAGGCACAGGCTCAGCTCCCGGGTCCTTTCTAGGCTTGCTCTATCATTATCCCCCCGACTTCCTTAGAACCCTGGAACCAGCAGCCCCCATAGCTCTCCCAAGCTGGGGCTTAGAAGTACCCAGAGAAGACCACTCCTTCTGTCTGGGGATGGGAGGTAGAGCCCTGGCATCATCAGATCTTCATCATTTCCCCTCCCCAAGCCCAGCCCTGGCCCCGTCATCCTTACCTTGGCAGTGAGTGAGATTCAGTCTCTTGTATCCTTGGGGACACTCCAGCTGGCCATTTTCAACCACCGGGGAGGCTAAGAAGTGAAGATATAGATGGGTGTCACTGGAAGGCCCTTGGGTTCCTCTGTCACCCATGCTGAAAAGTGGGGCACAACCCACTCCACAGCTGTTGAGACTCTGTCCCCCAAGTCACCACTGTGGGCAGTTGTGGTGACATCTTGACTGCAATCCCTTCCCTGGTTCTCACCAGGTTACCCTTGGCCCAACTTGCTCTAACTAGAAATGACACTCAGTGACTACATATCTTGAATATATCAATGTTATATACTATAAGGTGATTAAACAAACTTCATTTATTTATCTAATTTCTGTTTTGGTTTTCAAGTCATTATAGGTTTGTAAGAAGTTATGAAAAACAGTCACAGAGAGGTCCTGCCTGTCCGTCACCCCGTTTCTCCTAATGGTTACATCTTACATATCTATAGCTATCGTATTAGTTTTTAAACCCCTGGATACAACAATTCACAGTCTAATTTTTTTGATACGTGGTTTTAATGCCGCCATAGCCGACAAGGTATCTCAGCTCAAGATGGAGGAAGCCCATCGTTGACTGTACTCATGAAGCCACGCCATTCATTTTTCACTCATATCCACAAACTGTGTGATGCTGGTGTTGAAATTTGGCTGGTGGCTTTCCATCTCCCCTGAGGTCAGCTAGTGGTTCTTTTGAATGTAAGGGATATTAGAAAATTCTGGTTTTCCAGTTTTTTTTTTTTAAACGTTTTTATTTATTTCTAGGAGAGAGAGAGAGACAGCGTGAGCAGGGGAGGGTCAGAGAGACAGGGAGTCACAGACTGAAACAGGCTCCAGGCTCTGAGCTGGCAGTCAGCACAGAGCCCGACACGGGGCACGAACCCACGAACCGCGAGATCATGACCTAAGCGAAAGTCGGACGCTTAACCGACTAAGCCACCCAGGCGCCCCTGGTTTTCCAGTTTTTTAAGTGTGCAAATGGAGTTGGCTCATAGCAACAAATCCCATAATGATGGAACTGCTTCCAAATATCCATTTTCAAAAGGCTCTCTCTTACGGTATACATCTCTTAAACAGCAGTCCTGCCTGAAGTTAAAAGCAGACAGAACCAGGCAGATGTCTGACTCTAGATTGACCAACAAGGAAATAAGCCTCAGAATTCTGGTGCTGATACTCACCCTACCTGATTGTATAACATTCTCCTGTACACTAAAAAGAAAAAAGTGCTTTGAAAAAGAAAAACCTTGGAGGGATGGACTGGCATGTCAGCCTCCAAAGAAATACTTTGAAGGGTTTGGGTTTTGTTTTGTTTTTCTTGAAAAGCTCTAGTAGGTAGCATATTACTGACAGCCATCTGTCATCACAGAAAAAGGCAACAGATGTAGAACATTCCATAAAGATCCCATTCTAATTTACAGATCTTGTTTTACATAGTTAACTGCATGATGACTTCCTCTAGCAATTTGTCTCCTTCTGACTTCCACTTCCTTGTGGCAATAGCTTGCCTAGGAATGCTGCAGTGAGGGAATTTTCCACAGAGTGCTCTCCACCTCTAAGACTTCACCTGGATTCCTTTTTATTCCAGTCAGAGCATCAGCAACTACCCTTGCAGAGTTGTTGGAAAAGCTTGTTTTTATTCAAGGAGTCATTTACTGCATTTTCTGTTGGGAATATATGCCTTGTGATTGATCCTTTCTTCAGCAGTTTACAAAAAGACAATTCTTCATAAACTTTATTGTTGAAATGGATTCTTGCAAGTAGCAAGGGACATGTTAGAGATATCTATACTACCATTCAATCATACAGCAAAGTTTGAGCATCTTGGCGTTTTTAAATGTGTTTCTAATCCAGATAGCTTTTACTCTATCATTAGCTGCTGTTTCCTAGCACATTATACACTCAGGGCAAAGTCTGTTTTCTTCCTCCCTCCCTTCCTCCTTTCTTTCAAGTATGAGCAGGGGAGAGGGGCAGAGGGGGAGGGATAAAGAGAGAGAGAGAGAAAGAGAGAATCCCAAGCAGGCTCCATGCCCAGCAAGGAGCTCCATGTGGGGTTTGATCCCACAACCTGTGAGATCATGACCTGAGCCGAAATCAAGAGTTGGATTCTTAACTGACTGAGGCACCCAGGTACCCCCAGGGCAAAGTCTGTTATTAATGATATATTATTTCATAAAGCCTTCCTGATCATTTGGACCCTGGGATCCATTCTGGGTCACGTCTGAGAGGTCCTGATTATTTTTACTTTGGACAATGGTTGATTACATGTCAAAGGAGAAGTGGCAGCATTGAACTTAAAAAATGGTTACTTGGTGATTATGCTACTAGTATTATTTTGAATCTTGTTTCTTTGCAGGAAAATTTTTTAGTCATTTCTCCATTTGGTGAGGGTTGTTTTCATTACAACTTGACACTATATTTGAAAAACCCCATAAACCCAGCACTGTTGTGTGTTACGTATTGTGATATGCCAAATACAAACATGAGAGGCGCCATGTTTCCCTGGAACACTGCTCTTCCCCCAGGACACACCACATGCCAAACATGACCTCCGACAGTCTGCCATACAGACTGAGCAAAGATATAAATTCGTAAAGCTTAGTTTTTTTTAACGTTAAAAAGAAATCATCAGTTGAGATGGTAAAACCTTTTCCCGCTATGGACAACAGTCTTGCTCAGGGTTTACAGATCCTTCCATGGTGGGGACTGGGCTCCGGCCCAGTGGTGATAAATGAGGATTCTGAACACGCGGATACTGAGAGGGATGGGAGCGAGGCTGGGAAACGTCAGCGCCCCTGGCACGGGGCCCGGTGGCATCAGCTGAGGCCAGGGAGGAGAAGGAGAGGGGAAGTTGTTTGCAGAAACTCAGAAAGCCAGCTGATTAGATGCAGCTTGCAAACATTATGAGGAGCAGAAGGTGGGAAAGAATAATGTGAGGCCGATGCCAGAACATCTGGATGGTGCTTTGGAGCTGCAAGGCCGCTGGTACAGGGAATCCTGTTTCCCACACAATCACCCTGCAAGGCAGGGAGCAGGATCCCCATTTTGCAGATTAGGAAAGCGAAGCTCAGAGGGGGTGGAGTAGCAGCTGAACTTGTCTCTGGCTGCGAAGGCCACATCCCTCATGTGCCACTCTGCTGAAAGCGGGAGCAAGAGAGGGGACCAGGAGGCCAGGGCGGCACCGAGATTTCAGGGGGGAATCATGAGGCTGAAGGACCCTGCTTCCTCGACGAGTGGGAGATGAGTGGTGGGAGCTGGGATTACAGCCAGGAACCAGGGCGGAGCAGCGGCGGGCACCTGCAGGCACCGCGAGAACCTGGGAGTATGTAACCTGAGAGGAGCTGTGTTCATTCATTCATCCAGATTTATGTGCTTTCCTTATAATAAAGTGATTTCTTCCTCAGAAGGCTCTGCCCTCTTGCTAGCCTTAAGAGAAACTGTTGGGAGCACCTGGGGGGGCTCAGTCGGTTAGGTTAAGCATCTGACTTTAGCTCAGGTCATGATCCGGTGGTTTGTCGGGTGGAGCCACTCGTCAGGCTCTGTGCTGACAGCTCCAAGCCTGAGACTGCTTTGGATTCTGTGTCTCCCTCTCTCTCTGCCCCCTACCCTGCTCAGGCTCTGTCTCTCTCCCTCTCAAAAAGAAATAAACGTTAAAAAAAGAAAGAAGAAAAGAGAAACTGTTGGGAGGACAACCATTTGTGAAGGCAGGCTTCCAGAGAGGAATGCATTTCAAAACCACTGTCCCCGGTGAAATTCCCATTTTGCCAGCAACCCAGACGTGATCCCAAAGAGGGCCCTGAGAACCCTCCCCACACCTCAGAGAGGCTACCTATGAGCTTCTCTGCAGCATCCAGTCTAGAAAAGTCAGCCTCAATCTCATTGGGGGATAGAAGGCTGAAGTTTATTTTATTAAGTTCATTTACTTATTTTTTAGCTAGCTAGCTAGCTAAATAGAATCCCAAGCAGTTTCTGAGTTGTTAGCACAGAGCCTGATGTGGGGCTTGATCTCATGAACTGTGAGACCATGATCTCAGCTGAAACCAAGAGTCGGACACTTAACTGACTGAGCCACCCAGATGCCCCTAGAAGGCTGAAGTTTAGACGGCCATGTGGAAGGGAGAACCTTGGCTCAGGTGGAACTAGCACCTACCCAGGGCTCTGGGAATGACCTGGGCAGTCAGTGAGCTGTGATTCACGGTGAGGGGGTGGAGGGCAGGCACCCCTACCCCTGCCACCCACACTAGGTTGCCTCCCAAGTGCTCTCATCACACTCAGGCCTTCCTTTTGCATGACACTTAAAATGCTGTGTTCTGACCGCCTGTTTGCTTGCCCATCTCCCCCGCTAAAGCGTAAGCTTCTTGAGTTCAGGGACCTTGTCTTCACTGTTGCCACATCTCTAGACATAGAACACTATAGGCACTTAGTCAAAATGGGATGACTAATAATAGCAAACACTAAAATGGCACTTACTATGGGCCAGGCTTTATTATAAAGTCCTTACGTGTATTAACTTATTTAATCCTCATGACAGCCCTTGAGGGGACTTACTGATACTATCCCCATTTTATGGATAAGCAAACTGAAGTCCAGAGAGATTAGGAAACAGGCCCAAGTTCTCCGAGCTGGTGGATGGCCCGGGGATTATGAATCCAGGCAGTCTGCCTCCCGAGCATAAATTCTGAGCCATTCCTCTCTACTGCCTCCAAATACATAAATCCATGAACTCATGACAAGCCTCAGGAGTTGTCTAGGTAAGGAATCCTAGGGTCTGCGGGCTACAGGGAGATGTGTGCCCATTAGGACGTCTATCACCCTTCTCTCTTCCCTTTTTTTAAACAAGGGATCAGGAGAGCGAATGGGAAAAACAAAGGCAGCGGTATCCAGACGGAGGTCAGAAGAACTAATCAGATGTTGGGCAAATGCCCCCAAGGTCTACAACCAAAGTGCCACGCAGAGTCAGTAAAGGCAATGGGGAAGAACCCTCCTACCTCTTATGGCCCCTCAACCAACACAAGGAGAAGACAGCAGGTTGGAAAGCAGAGAG